AATCCATATTTGCTCTGACTATACGTTATCGCGCACACTTTGTGTTTCGTACACACACACATATATATATATATATATATATATATATATATATATATATATATATATATATATATATATATATATATATATATATATATATATATATATATATATATATATATATATATATATATATATATATATATATATATATATATATATATATATATATATATATATATATATATATATATATATATATATATATATATATATATATATTTTGAACGTAAAGGATACAGCCTAAACCCAATTTATATGGTCTTGGTAGACCTGACTATACCCCAAACAACAATAAACTTCATCAAGTATAACGCATTCAAGATGCAGTACCATTTCTGGCTATTACTAGGTAGACATATTTCGGTCTAATGCCTAGCAAGCTTGTATATATCTAGCAAACATAGCATTAGAATGTATTCCCTCCACTCGTGAGCTTTCAAACTATTGTCACATATAGTTTGACTGCAGGCCTTGTGACCCTGCATGGGCAGTTAGAAGGAAGAAATACACATACACAATGATTAAAAGTAGCCAGAAATGGTATTGCATCTTGAATGCGTTATACTTGATGAAGTTTACTGTTGTTTGGGGTATAGTCAGGTCTACCAAGACCATATAAATTGGGTTTAGGCTGTATCCTTTACGTTTATATATATATATATATATATATATATATATATATATATATATATATATATATATATATATATATATATATATATATATATATATATATATATATTTATATATATAGGCGAATGTCAATAAGTATATTGAGTGTCGAATCATAAGAATAGAGTGCTCGATACAAAAGTAGAGCAAATAAAAGACAAGCTTGAGTTACTTCGTTTAAAACATTTATTCACAACAAATTTGTTTCGTATGGCAAGCTAGGCTTGCCACACTCATCAGGTGAATGGTGATATCGCGTATTTACATGATGTTATAACCTATAGGTAACTTGAGCTGTTATATACAAATGAGTGTGGCAAGCCTAGCTTGCCATACGAAACAAATTTGTTGTGAATAAATGTTTTAAACGAAGTAACTCAAGCTTGTCTTTTATTTGCTCTACTTTTGTATCGAGCACTCTATTCTTATGATTCGACACTCAATATACTTATTGACATTCGCCTATATATATATATATATATATATATATATATATATATATATATATATATATATATATATATATATATATATATATATATATATATATATATATATAATATATATATATATAAACTGATAAACATGATTTTCAGGGATGGATTTACTATTCCTGGCCAGATAGGGTGCATGGGAATGCTATTTTCCAAAGCAAAAAAAAATTGGAGACAAAGTAATATAATTTGAGTAAATATCATGATGATATTTAGCTGTGAACATCAATTATAGTTCAAATTAATACAGTAGCTGTCAAGCAATGTTGATGGGCGGGCGGCACATGTGACCGAAACAATATGCTGGATCCATCCCTGGTGGTTTTTGTTAATTCATATGGGAAATCTATAATTGTATAACCAATGGTAAGAGTTCATGTTTTACATTCAAAACTCCATTTAATGGAAATTTGATTTCCCCCTGCATATGTGTATTCCATCCACATATAACATCCACGCCCCCCCCCCCCCCCAAATGTCTGCTACTGGGTATGTCAACTCAACTATAAATGTAAGAACTGGACTATTATATATTTCCCATGTATGGTAAATTGGGGGAAAATGTTTTTAAAATTTAATATTGACCATTAATGGTATTTTCCTGGTAAATATATATTTTAACTGATAAACATGATTTTCAGGGATGGATTTACTATTCCTGGCCAGATAGGGTGCATGGGAATGCTATTTTCCAAAGCAAAAAAAAATTGGAGACAAAATGAGATACAGTAATATAATTTGAGTAAATATCATGATGATATTTAGCTGTGAACATCAATTATAGTTCAAATTAATACACTAGCTGTCAAGCAATGTTGATGGGCGGGCGGCACATGTGACCGAAACAACTCTGCACCAGAGCTGGCAGAGCATGCTGGATCCATCCCTGGTGGTTTTTGATAATTCATATGGGAAATCTATAATTATATAACCAATGGTAAGAGTTCATGTTTTACATTCAAAAATCCATTTAATGGAAATTTGATTTCCCCCTGCATATGTGTATTCCATCCACATATAACATCCCCCCCACCCCTCCTCACGGCCCCCTGTCAATGAAATAGTTGAGTATTCAGGGATACATTAACAGTAGATAACAAATTGCCTGGAATTCCTCTTAGGGCACATGCAAAGTTGGATCGGAGTTGCCCTAGTATTTTGTGCTTGGAATTCCTCATAGATAGAGTTTTTTGTGCTTGGAATTCCTCAGAGTATATATAAAATTATTATATATATGAGAAACATGTGAGAAACAGGGGTGTGCAGATATATATTAAATGAAAATTATAGCCCAATTTAAGTGCCAACAAAAAATGTTTTGGCCACATTTAACATGTTAAACTTTTAAATATTAAATGAGCAAAATGATAGAGAGAACTGACAAAGGCACAAACCTGAGAAGTTGGAAATATTGTTGGAACAGCAAATGGCTTCAGTATCACTCTTTGTCCACCCTCCTCCTTCGTCTCAGAGCTAAAATGTTCTGAGCACAGACGACTTCCTCCTGTCGGAACGAATTTAACCCGTGCATTTTTGTTGACATTTTCAAGCCATTTGCCATACATCTCCGGATATTTCTTTGGATCGGGGAAGCTGTAAATATAAAATACATTTTGTTATATAATATTAAAATGGACTAATGTACAGATTCCTGCTGCTTATAAGTACAGTATTAATATTTTATTATTTTGACCTTTTTGCCTAAACAACTCATTGGCAGAAGCCAGTGGAACCTAATCACCTATCCTAAAACGGCAAAATATATTAAAACAGAAATTAATAAAATAATTAAATCACATTTTAAAAGCTATGTGAAGTATATAAAATCATCAACATATGCTGATGACGCCATTTCGTGTTGAAAAATGTTTTTTTAATAGTCACGGAAATAGTAGCCTCAAAGGAAACTACTACGTCTACTAACTTAAGATAATCTCACTTTACATAAGGATAAATAAACTGCATTTTTTTATACAGCTATATAAATAAATTATCTGCTAAATAAACTCATAAATAAATTACTGTCAGCCGTTTTATAATATACGAAGTATACGTATCCTTAAATATAATATACAGTTTCATTTTATTAATAAAAAAACTGTGTTTATTTAACAATTGAAGCAGAGAAAAAAAGTTTTACGCATTCTTACCGGTGAGAAGAAATCCTTTTTTTTGAAAAAGTATTGCTGCATCCATAAAAAGAGCATAAACGAGGCATTTTCTCGGGAAAAATGATTTCGGCTTTGAATACAAAATATTTTTTTGTAAAAACCAGGGGGGTGAAGTACATCGTCGAAAGCTTAGGATCGCGGTTGGGACAGTGGTAGTTGCCATGAATTTAGGGACCAGTAGTCATGGCAATGGCGTCAGATCCGCCATGTTTTTGGCGACACTTTTTTATCCCGAGCAGGTCCTCCAGTAATATAGTATAGCTCAGTGGCCCTAACTGACATTGAAAATGCCTGACTTTGGATGCAAGCTCAATCCTCCTCCCGACACATGCAATGGTCATCACCATATACGTGTTCGAGTCTTCGAATGAATGGAACTATGAATGATTAATGAAAAGCGTTATCGAAATACTGAACACATGCAATCATGTGCATGATCTACAATGTACATCATTCCAATTGATTACTTTCCAATTTCTAAATCCCAACTTTATAGCTGCAACTAAAACCTGTTATGTCGATTATCATGATGACGTCATGATAAACAGATGTTAAATTTCTTTCATTACTTTTCTATTTATTTCTCCCTTATCTTTTGCTCACATTAGAATTTTCCCAACTTATCAACCTTTCAATGCTTCTCTCTCTGACCTCCGCCTACGGTACGCCTATATGGGGTTTAGGTAAGATAAGAGCTTGGGCATTACTGGGCTCATCTTGCAAGTGAGGTATTCTCACAGAAAGAAACCCAGCATTTCACGACGTAAACACACTTCACAAGTTTATACAAGTCTATTGTTTATACTCTACGGAATTGTCACACGGAACTAAAACAATGGAACTAAAACTAAGATTGTTCTTGTCGAACTAATCAGGTTATTTACTATTAATCTGTAACAAATATAACATATGTTTGGTATTAAATTGTGACTTCAATGGATATGATTTATATAACACGCGCAAAGTCCACTATTATACAAAGAAAATTCAATTGTTCAAGTCGTTTAAATTATTTCTAGTCTTCTCTGCTGATTGTTTCATTTCAAAAAAATCGATTAAAATCGTTTCTTTTTTTTTGACTTTTAAAACAAAAACAAAGAAACAAATCTTCCCTCACTTCCTTCTCTCTACTCCCCATATATTGTCCAACTCCAATCTTCTTTCTCTCATTCCCATTGGCCAAAGATACTTCCTCAATGTTCCTTAGTTCGTCCTCTATAAATTTGTCCGCTAACTCCTTCATCATGCCTTCATTCAGGGAGAATGGTTGGAACTCATCCTTTTTTGTCTTCCTATCGACCCTTTTGCTTCGAATTCACTTACTCTTCATTTGTCAACACAATTATTCCCATTCAAATGTTCAAGTATCTTTTCAGATTCTTCTTTCTTAAATTTCAGCCCATTATCGTCCACACACCAACATCACTGATTGAACCTGAAGTTCTTCCAGTAAATAATTCTACCGTTGTCCCAAGACCAACTGAACCGCTTTTTAAGATGTAATGCTTTCTGTTATATTCACAATAAGTTAAGTTGAGCATCCACTTTAACAATCCCATGATCGGAGTATCACCTAATGTAACCTGAACGACGATCTTCACACCACAGTGGAAATGGCCTAAGCCTCGCACGCATAAACATCTTCAGTGCACGTATGTGGACTTGATGGAAACGAACAGCCATCATTCCAGACCTCAACATCAGAAGACTCATTATTTAAGACATCAAGAACGTCTGTCGTACATCGTTCACATTCAACGTGATTAGCAACATTCTTGTTCAGTTTATCACCGCGCATGTCTTGGCGTCCCTATGAATCAACGTCAGAGGGAGATTATTGTTTGTATTTGAATCACAAGACTTATTCTCGCCTCCTACGTCAGACACATGCAGGAACAATCTGCACTTCTTCATAGTCAGTTTCTTTCAACGTTGGAAAGGAAACATCAGGTGTTGTCTTGACGTCACCATGAACGAATGTCCCAGGATCCTTGGTACTTGTATTTAAATAGAAGGTAACTGGTATACAAGCTCGCCTTCTACATCAGGCACAAAAACAATTTGCACCTCTTTGTGACGAGGTTCTTTTATGGTCGAGAAGGAAACATCAAGTGTTGTCTTGACGTCACCATGAGCTCGCACTACGTCAGACGCAAGAGCAGTCTGCACTTCTTTACGGTCAGTTTCGGTCATGCAATGTTAGGAGGGAGACGCCGAGAGTTGTTTCCATTGAAGTTAATATTTGTTTGTTACCAGCACGTTCTGCATCTAAAACTGAATAACAAAGAATGCAAATCAGTTGGAAATAGTAAAGAAAACATTTTGATCTGTTTCGTGGTAAACTATTAATTGTAATGCGGAGTAATCATCAGCCCTCTAATGAAAACCACGATGAAAACTGGAGGTTTTTGGACGCGAATGAAATCACTGAGGAGTTAGTAAGTTGGCATAGGAACGGAAACGTTATATTGTTGCCTAGCGTAGACGCAGCACGCCATTCTTCACGTTTCTCCAGAGTTCACTTGGCCCAGTCTTTTGCACGATCTATATATTGTCGCGATCTCGACTTTCCGTCGGTCGATATCGGAATGTCTTGCGTTATAGCTTGCGCTAATGCTAATTACAAACGTCATAATTGGCGAACGTAACAAACGGATGCCCACTCCAATTAGCAAATTCCAATTAGCAAACGTAATAAACGAGAAAATAGCGCGTTGTTTTTTCAATTCGATCGCGTTGTCCGACTATCTGATCTCTCTGCACTATTAAATTGTATTCTTTCAAGAGCAATACATCTAGAATGTTTTTGTTTATTTGAAAAGATAACATAAGCAAGGCCATGAACGTTTAAGCGCTCATTCCAAAGAAGACCAGTGCTCCTTCATGGGCGCCTTAAACAACACGAAACAGCCCAATGTTTGCCCAGTCATTTTTCCGATCTATCTATTGAGAGCGTTAAGTTTAAGGCAGCACTTTCCTTGCAATAGTAACTCCTAGTTTATCTTGCGCATAAAATGCAAATCAGAAAGCAGTAAAATTGTTAAAGTTTATTTATTACAAAATAGTTTCAAGATATATTGTAGTTCTTACCTTTATTCTGTTCCCCTTCGAACAAAGTTTTAAGCTCTTCAACACGAGCTTGGGTTTCGTTTAATTTTTTCTTGGCTGCCTGTATTATACCATCCCGAGTCGTTTCCATTAATTTTGAATTTTAACAATATTGAGAAAGCCTCGTCATACCGCTTGAACCATATTTCCTTTAATTCCATTTTCACCAAAATGAACAGAAACGTTCAGCGAGTAACTTAGCGAGAAGTGCACAGCACAAAGTACATTATGACACACAGTTTTGTAGTTCTTACAAGAACGAGGGAATGTGGATAATTAATTAGTACGCTGTTTGTGACATCATTTAATGAAACAGGAATAAAAATTTGCGTGAACCCCAGTCCTCGTCATTTGCGGCAGCAAACGGCAATTGCCACTGATAATTTGGCCGTATTTATATTAGAAGACGTCTTAAACGTCTTGTGTTAAGTGCGACTAATATAAATACGAGATGAACAGTTGGAAACTACTACTATCGAATGAAACCAAGAAAATATAAAATGTTTTAATTTGACAACCTTCTGTAGTGTTTCCTTACTTGCGTCCAACTTTAGTCGTCTCGTATTTGTACTAGACGAATTAAACGTCTAAGACAACTAACACGTCTGTTTAAGTGCGTCGTTTGGACGCACTTAACAGACGACGTTAATTCTTTATTCGTCTGTCTAATTTCCTGTATTTACATGGTATATTAGACGACTTTAACGTCTCAGACGGTTACGTCGTCTCATACGTTAAAGCCGTCTTCTATAATATAAATACGGCCATTATAATTGGCACCGAAAGTAAAATTATCGACGGCAATTTTTTTCCAATGGTTGTCAAACACTAATAATTTACTATATGATGTAAATAATCCACCAAATAATAATACATTGATATACTTCAGGTTTCACATAATCCATTTGTTATTAACATGCATCTCCAAATTGTTATTTTGGGACAAAATTTCCTCCGGTCGAACTGCTGCCGAACTGTAAATTAACGACGTTGTTTCTAATGTGTATTAATAAGTGTTTTCCAGCCTTTTAGTATTTATAAGACGGCAAAGAATCATCCTCGTACGTACGAGGCTGGCAAAGAATAATAAAACTAAAACCAATGTAGTCGATATTAATTCCAGCTCATCAATATTTTTTGTACTGTTTCATTTAGTTTGTTTCCCACTCTGTTTTACAGTAAGGAAGATAAACTCGTTTCAACTTCAATACATGCATTTATTGGCAAATAATTATATTACGTTATTAGCTACATAAAATGTTACTTACAACCGCGTATAGAACGGATTTCATGTAGTCACTTGATTAATCTTTTGTCCAAATGACAGTTGGGATTTTGTCACACTTGCTAAGTAACAGATCATCAACAGATCCTGAATGTTAAAAACAAAAAAACAATACTGCATTAAGTATAGTATACTGACGAACAAGCTTAAACAAAACATAAAATCATGTATAAGATGCTAATACCGCAATCTTTTTTTAAAGGAAGTTCATTTTAATTTTCGGCGTTAGTTACATTCACTATGTCTCGGCTAAATCGGAAACCCCCTCAGTCTATTAAGGCCCTTCTACAATAAACCGTACCCTCAAATCTGGCTGAAATAAAGAAGCCATCGGGGGGATTAATAGAAGATTTTTGTTATACAATCTTATAAGCATATGGCTGGAGGGCCAATAGTTGTTTTTTCTGCCCATAACTTGTCTGGAATTTCCATGCACGTAAAACTTTATTAAACTTGGTTTTCAGACAGACATATAATTCTGGTTGTCGGACCTAGGAGGCCAGGGAAGACTACGAAACATTGTTGGTAAAACATTGTTTCTTGCCATGTTTCACGAATGTCTCCGCGCCAAAATCATTTTTAGGAGAAAAAGAGAGAGGGTCTAAAAAGAGTAGTTGCGATATTTCGAACACACTCAACTAATTGCCTTATTAATAAATCGAACCATCAATTTCCTCCTACCTGCATATTATTGTTCATCATAGCTTCAAATTCTTGAGATTTTATTTGTGGTACTGAGTCAACGAGATTCATCAACATTCTTCCAACAGTACTGTTAGCTGGTATTTCACCCGTCTGAACAAAATTACTTATTTCAATGTATATACTGTTTTCGAACGTACAATTTAGATATTTGGTGAGTCAAAATAGCTCGAGACCGAAGGACGTAATATATTACGTCCTTCGGTCTCGAGCTATTTTGACTCACCAAATATCTAAATTGTACGTTCGAAAACAGTATATACATTGAAATAAGTAATATATTATGTAATATATTACAGTATAATACAGTATATTACTGTTCACTACTGTATATTACAGTATAATACAGTATATTACAGTTCACTACTATATTACAGTATAATACAGTATACTGTATTATACTGTAATATAGCAGTGAACTGTAATATACTGTATTATACTGTAATATACAGTAGTGAACAGTAATATACTGTATTATACTGTAATATACAGTAGTGAACTGTAATATACTGTATTATACTGTAATATACAGTAGTGAACTGTAATATACTGTATTGATTCACATGGGATTCGCACTCTTGGACATTATCCAATAAATTGCTAAATAGGATTGGTGTGTGGGTGGCACAGCGCAAGGTATGTGTCACCAGTGCATGTGTTTTCACCTCAGAGATGGAACCAGCCAGATCTGATAGTAGGGGTGCTCATCGGGCTTTGGTCATGGTGACTCATGGTTCAATGTGCGACTGTTGACCAAGTGCGTAACCACGGCAGCAAAGAACCAGTCAGTCATCTTGCTTGGTATTGTTTCATTTTGTCTCTAGTTTATTTTTGTTTTTGTAATTGCCTTACCAAATAAAACATGGATTTGATAAGGAACAACAAACACGCGCACAAGACATTTTCACCCAGGATTGTCAGTTATTTTGCAGGTACCAAGGGTTCACATACTGACAGTATCTACTTATATTTAGTATAAAGAATTTGCCGCTGCATGTGGCATACTCACCAGAACATCATCAACATATTTCAATAAAAGTTCTAGCATTTTGGATATTTTGTCTGTCGATCTAATAAGGTACGTTAACAAAAAGTTTACAATCAAAGCAAAACATCAAACATCAACTTGGTTTGTACTTGATGCAATTCGTAGTTTGCACTTGATGGCAATGTTGGAAGAACGCTAACAAAAGATTATCATTAGCAGCCATTGTATCTGGAGCGTGTCTTCCTTCAACATGGCCACCATACATTTGCCATATAAATCTCAAGGGATTGATTGCAAACCACTAATATGTTTTATCGGCGATTTATGTCAAATATTAAATCGTAAGTGAAGATAGTGATAATCGTCAGTGATGTAAATTAACTTCCTGACCAATAAGTTAGTTATGAAAAATGCTTGCTCTGAATCAACCATGTCCGTCATAAATAGAATTTACCAGGTATCTTACTGACCTTAGTGTAGGAATATGTTTTGCAATGTACTAACAAACTGAACAATGTCTTTAGCTATGTTCCACTCAGTTTTATACAATTTGGGGGTGATACCTGAGATGGAATGCTTTATCTAGCATTTGCTTCATTTCTTTCCCAAACCAAACACGAAGTTATTTTACATGGCCTGGGCAAGTGTTAAGTTATGTCACTGAGGATAAAAAATACATGGACTAACTAGTACTTATTGATACTTACTGTAATATATTTTGCAAGTCTGAAGGTAAAGATATATTTTTTGTAGTGGAAGTTCTTGTTCTTTTTAACCATTCAACTAAATGCAAAAATACGTCTTTAGCATGAGATACTAAAGACCCGTTTACACTTGCAATTTCTGCTGCAATTTTAGGTGCAATTTTCTTCTTCTGATGGATGTGAACGAGTGGATGAGTTACGAATGCTCAGATGAGGGTACATCAGCGAGACATAAACTCAGAACATTCATAACTTATTTACTCTTTCACATCCATCAGAAGAAGAAAACCGCACCAGAAATCACAGCACAAATTGCAAGTGTAAACGGGCGTTTAAGGAGTATTGCATGTGTCATGTGCAGTTGAAGGAAAACATTCATTTGACACGATAGAGTTCCATACAAAATCCGAATCAATATCTTTTGAGGCGAGGTAACAGATCTGGTCGTCTGGACTAGGAAAGTCGTGATTATATAAAGTAAAGAGTTTACAAATTTATTCAAATTATAAAACTTACTTCCAACTTTTTCAGCTCCACTATTTGATATTGCGTATTCAACTGGACAAAATAATATTCCCTCCGTTGTTTCGTCTGGAACACCAATATTTGAACTACATATAATAAAACACAGTACTGTAAAGCCACGTGCAGACGAGCAAGTTTTCCTTGACAAGTTCTTTGACGAGCTTTTATTGCTCAAAATAAATGGATAGGAAACTAGCTGACGTGACCTAATGTTTTCAATGGGCTGATGGCGTGATTGGGTGTTGAAACCTAGTTGCAAACCAAATTCTCAAAAACCGGGCATGTTTAGCAATAATACAGTAAACATTTTAGTCAACGAGCAAATGAATATAACTACGCCATTCTACGATGAAATCGCTAAGTATTCCCAGTCAATTTTAGCAAATATTTCAAGCACTAAACAGTGAAAAGTCATCCCAAATTTCGTTAAAATTGGAGACGCCAATTTTGTAGCTACAAATGTAAAAAAAATACAAAACAAAGAAGAAAAACATTTACCTTGAATACTTTGTCGTGGCTTAGGCATGTTTTTAAAACAATTAGACCAGTTTATGTTTCAATATTACTCTTTTAAGGCGGAAAATATAGCGAAACAACAAAAATGCAGAGAACTTTGCAATACGCGTGACGTCACAGATTGCAACTAGGTTGTTTTTGCTTACGTCAGCGAGACCTATCCATTTATCTTATTATCCATGGTACGAGGAACGAGCTTTTTTCCAATCATTTTTTTCTTGACCAGTTTTATGAGTCTTTGTTGTTTGAGTACGTAAAGAATTGCATTCTGGTATTTTCAAAACTATATTACATGTGTCTTCTTTTTTAAAGTTATTTTCCCCAATTTTTGCCCGAATTATGTTTATAATTTGACCGAATTCATTTTCTACTGGGGGTAACTGACCCTCCCCCCCCCATGTACGCCTATGAATGGCCGCCCGAAGTCGAGTGCGCAGTGACGTAGTGCACAATTACTTGACGTCACGTTTTCCTTCACTACCTTACACACGTACAACACACACTTCTGGAAAATACCTAGCCACAGAATAAGGCACACAGAAGGTCGACTCGAGTAACCGCTGCCACGCCATGATTCATCATCAAAATGCTGACGCCATGGTCCTAGCCAGTGCGCGTTTGAGAGGCATCCCCCCCTGCACGTCCGCCATTTTGAATATTATCAGGGGGTGAATGCCTCTCAAACGCGCACTGGCTAGGACCATGGCGTCAGCATTTGATGACGTATTACGGGTTATGCCAAAATCATAGGAAAATCATAGGAAAAACCAAGAAGTCGGCCTTCTGTGTACCCTATTCTGTGACCTAGCCTTGGCCATAGAGCCTCGTTTTTGGAATTAAGAAATCGGCTTTAGAGTCGTTTATCTTGTCACAGGTTACACAAGTTATGAAATCATACTGTTATATAGCATATTAGGTAATTTCAAAGACCTTTATATAATAAAGACCGTTATATAATTAAGGTACAAGGTCTCTGAAGGCCATTTTCCACTAGGCGGAATTTTCGACGCGGAACGGAATTTTTCTTTGTCTTGTGATTTCCCCGGTGGAACTAATTAGAAAAGACAAAGAGAAATTCCGCTCCGCGCGCAAAATTCCGCCTAGTGGAAAACGGCCTTAAAGCCGATATCTCCCGAAAACGAGGCTGTATGCCAAGGCTAAGTACTTTCCGGAAGGGTGTATTTTCCTTGTTCTTGAGTGACGAGCTTAAACACTACTTGTCAATTTAATACCGCATACACATGCACAAACGAATAAAACATGTCAAGGAAACCTTGTCGGTCTGTACAGGGCTTATTTTATCACATTCTTGCCTTGCATAAAGATTGTTAACATATTTGAAGGCTTAGCGTATTATAGAATAATTTGATACAATATGCACTTACCTCACATATGCTTTTATTCCCAATGTATTCTTTTGTAATGTGGTATCAAGGATAAGATGAACTGGATTAGCGGTTTCTCGCGAGTAAAAATCATGTATCAAGACTGAATGGTCTGTGACGTCAACACCAGTGGCATACCTAGAAAGACATTTAATTTTAAAACATTAACAGATTTAGCCATCTCGTTCGACAGACTGAATAAACAGTATATGGACTTTTAGTAGATGAAATTTTCGAATGAAAATTTATATACATTTTTAAACCCAACTCGAAGCAGCTGCAAGGAAGAATTGTTTGAAGGAGTTAGAAGAATAGTTATTAAATAGTTTAAGCTCAGTTGGCAAGGAATTGAAAAGCAAAACTCCACTGTGGGACAGTTTTGTCTTTGCAAACTCCATGCCAACTTTGGGAATTCTTAGATCCGTACTAGCAACTCGAGTGTTTATATCGTATGAATCACATGCAAATTTAAAAAGATTACGAAGTTCAGTGGGTCCTTCGCCACGCAAACTTTCAACAACAAGTAGCCTAAGATCTTACGGAATTTTATAAGATTATGAATTGGAATCCATTTTAATTTACGAAAAATAACAACAGATGGCGTCGACACACTTTCATTTAATATTAGACGCACTGTCCGTTTTTGCAACTTAAATAACGGTTGGAGCAGCTTCATTTGAAGCATCACCCCCAGATAGTTATACCATATATAAAATGAGGGTAAATTAGACCGAAATAAAATTTGATTCTGGAGTCAAAATGAAGAGCTTCACGGATTTGTTGAACAGAAACAATCTTGAGTTAATCTTGCAATATATCTTATCAATTTGATTATAAATCCACACAAGGTGGCTATCAAGTGTAAGTCCTAAGAGTTTGCCAGACGTAATTTCTTCAATATAAGAAGAATCAGGTCCAATTGAACAACAGCCTAGAGCTGGAAATTTGCGCTTGGAGTAAATTTTCGTACATTTGGTTTTTTATGATTCAATATCATTCGATTACTCGACGTCCATTGAGAGACATTGGTCAGATTCTCGGAGAGGCTCTCTTGAATTACAGTTAAGTCAGAATTATGTTCTAAAAGTGTAGTGTCATCAGCAAAAAGATTTGGATCAGAGTACACGAGAGATTGCAGCAAATCGTTAATATAGATTAAAAACAAAAGAGGGCCCAGAATAGATCCCTGGGGAACACCAGTATTTATAATTAATGGCTGGACAAATGATCATTCAGATGGACCTGCTGTGTGCGATTGGTTTCGGTTGGTTAGGTATGAGGCAAACCACTTGCCACTAGTTTCAGTAATTCCATATAAACCGATTTTTTGTAATAAAATATTGTGGTCAACCAAATCGAACGCTTTGGAGAAATCAAGCATTAATAATCCATAAATTTAAATATTGTTAATAAGGTATTCATGGATTATTGCAAGTGAGGAAAGACATGGATACTTTGGTCGAAAACAAAATTGGACTGGTGACAGAATGGAATTGACCGTTAGATCAACCTCGTACCCAGGTTCTCAATCTTCGCTCCTACTTCGCTAGAATTGAGACCCTGGTATCAGCTGGTCACGTGACCCGTCATATTTTAGCGGATTTGCTCAATTGTTTTAGGGAAAGTATAGTAAGTAGATATTGTAGTTTTAATATTGTTAAAATAACATTCAGTTACTATCTTTTCCCTAAAAACAATTGAGCAAATCCGCCAAAATATGACGGGTCACGTGACCAGCCGATACCAGGGTCTCAATTCAAGCGAGGTAGGAGCGAAGATTGAGAACCTGGGTACGAGGTTGCCGTTAGATAACTTAAATATGCCTTGCAAACACGAGTCTCCAAGACTTTAGAAAGAATAGCAAGAATAGAAATAGGCCGATAATTTGCTCTATTAGTTGTTTCCTCTGACTTGTGGATGGCGAACCAAAATGATGTTAGATATTCAGACAGTACATCATATTTTAAAAAATACAGCAGTTTGTTTACATACGGACTTGACTTCCACTTTAAGAAAAGAAAAGAAAAAAGAAAAGAAAAGAAGAGACGTATTCTAAAGTCATTAAGGGGATTTCAAATTAGTTACATGTTGTGTTTATTGAAGATGGATCCCAGCTTGTTGTTTGGCCAAAGTCAAAGTTATCGGCAATGTTGGTGAAATAGGAATTAAAAAATGACCTTAGGATTATTAGAGTTGTTGTCGAGAACTTGTTTTATATGGGAATTTTTGTACTTTGTACTGTGACCAATAATAGGATATCGATTGGTCAGTACTCTTTCTAGTTTTTTTTTTAAGGAAATAGTCATTCACTCGTTTTTTTTTTAATGGAGCATGTTTATTTGACCATAGAAAGCATCAAGTACGTCGTTGAGATCATCGTAAGATATCAATAAAGTAGGGGGAGGGGGGATTATTTAGATCATTACAAAACTTGCCCTCATCAAAACGTTGGGTATTTCGAAATTCAATAATTTTGCGGCTTCTTCTGGTAAGTGAACGAGGAATAATTTTGCGGGTTATGAAAATTGGCAAGTGGTCACTGATTCCAAGTTCAATAACGCCTGATTTAAGAACGGATTCAGTACAAGAAGTGTAAATATGATCGATTATAGTACCTGAAGATGGGTGAGTAAAACAAGCAATACGTTTTTTTTCTCTGTTGGTGTAATGTACTCAGGCGAATGGCTCTGAGCCAGAGCATTGGGCTGGTGTTCCAAAGGTCGTAGGTTCGATTCCCACCGTGGCCAGGCATATTTTCCAAGCTTGCCCGGTGTGGATACACAGTCAGAGTAACATCACAAGTATCAAGCAATAAGTTGTTTGAGCTGAAATTGTGATACGATATGGAGTGGTCTATATGATCTTTTGTCAAGTGTATTGCAGTTAAAATCACCTAGAATCACAATTTCTCCAGAATCATTATCAGCCTTATAGTGAGTAACTGTTCAAATTTGTCACGCCATTGACTTGTGTTGTCTGGTTGATATATAAAGCCAACAAAGAAAGAATGAGACTTAGGAAATTGGAATTCCAACCAGATATACTCGATTTCATGAAAACCAGAGGTAGTAATTTGAATATCATCTCTAACCTTAAATTGCAGTTGATGTGGGATATAGACCATAAGGCCACCACCTCTGGAGTATTTCCTATCCTATGTATCTAACACATATAACATCATACAAATTCGTACATATACTGGACAGTATATATAGGCATATGAGTGTGGTGACAACACATATAAGCGTGCGTTATCTGATTAGATCTATACGATACAGCAGACTGGGCTGAACACGAACCATTATCCTACTTTTTCGCAGCGAATTTTCCCCCTAACTAATTACATTGCCGCATTTATTTTTTCGCTTTGCGCGAACAACTTTACCAGTGAAAATGATAAGCATTGAGAACCATTTTCCACTGACTAGGCGAATTTGTTCGCACGAAGCGAAAAACAAATCTTGGCAATGTGATTGTGACTTACCATCCAACAATCTGTGCGCTACTATTTGCTTTCTTGTGTAGTTCATACATGTTTTTAGCATACTCCATATCAACAGCCACCTTAAAAACAATCATGATAAAATATGAACTTCGAATATTTACAATGCTAGAAAAAACAAATTAAACATTCCGTATAGTAATAGGTTTATACTGTCGTGCTGTCCCCGCCATTCGTTGTTAGATTCAGTGACGTACATGTTCTGCTGTTATTATGTTATATGTTTGTGTGTACGTTTTGTGTTGCAAAGTTTAATAAATAAATAAATAAATAAATAAATAAATAAATAAATAAATAAATAAACATCCCAGACCGTCAAAATCTACTGACAAAAAATTGCGTTCTTTTCTTTTCTTTTCGCATTCTTTTAAATTATATTAAACCAAAAACAATTCTAATTTTCTGCCTGCTATATTGATTTGACTCCAGTTCAGGATCTGTTTTATAATTATACGTTGAATTTTGGTCGCGTCGAATCCAATTCAAAAAATAGATATTAATGAAGCTAATTGAGGTTTATTTTAAATGAGGTTTAAAACGGGCCTAAGGCCTGTTTTATACGTCGAATTTCGGTCGCGTCGACTGATGCAATTCAAACAATAGATAATGAAGCGGCGGCTCGTGCATTTTGGCACATTTTTTCAAATATCACTTGTAGTGTTAATCATTAATTGCATTCCTTCCCGTGTGATTACCTATTCTTAATGAGGTTTATCTAATTATCATTATCTCATTAATCATTATCTAATTGTCTTAAATGCATTCGACACGACCAAAATTCGACGTATAAAACAGGCCTAACATTTAAGTCCACAAAATCTAAATTCTTGAGGTGCCTTGAAATGGGTAAGAGTCCCGTTCGTATACCTTGTCTTTTTGGATCTTCAAGTTATTCATAATTCTTATGTAATTGTATTGATAATATATTGTATGTATTATTGATCCAATTTGTGGGGGGAAAATTAGAAATTTTATCGACCTTTAAATTGGTAGATAAAAGGTAGGCATGGACTGACAGCAAACAGCAGAGTATAGATTGTTAAGCTTTGTTCAAATATATTATGCAATATTCCAGTTATAAACAAATTAACACATGATCTTGAATAGTCTTGTGACAAATTTCCTTGGTCAATTGAAGCATGTATTAGTGATGTATACAGAACATAAAGTGTATCTAAATCCCAAAATGTTTGATGCGTCGTAAAACTCCAAGTCTTTGATTGATTCATTGTCTTTGATTCATTCAAGTCTTTGATTGATTATTGTTAATAAGGTCTTGTCTAAAAGTACACACGAGTGACCACGAGCGACCACGAATGACCACGAATGACCACGAGTGACCACCAATGACCACGAGTGATTTCTGTGTTTAAAAGTCATAAAATAATAAAAAAAACTATTTTAAGGTGGCTCCATAGGGTTTTTGCATTATACTACACTTTTGTATCCAGAAAACTCCTGTTTCTTCACTTTACATGACACGAAGACGAAATTTATTGGACACATTAACAATGCTGTCCTGAACATTGCAATTAACTACTTTTGCGCTGAAAGTCCGTTACCATGGTGACAGCGTGCTTTGGATAATTAAGCTCAAATTTTGTCTTTTTCCGGCCGTGTTAAAAATTTTAAAATTTGCACAAAAGATCAGTTCTCGTATGATTTTTTCTTCAATTTTAAAAAAATTTATGGAACGTTTCTTAGATTATTCCCTTCAATAAAATTTTAAGAAAAAAAGATATTGAGCTTGTTTAGCCGATATTAAGAAATGTGCAAAGTTTTAAAACAATTTACCGAAGGAAAAAGGTGAAATTTAGGTTTAATTTTGGCATTTTTTGCGAGATGTGACGTGAACCCTCCACCCCCCACAAATTTTGATATTTTCAGGTAAAATTTGCGTAATAATGTAATTATTTGTGTGAAATGATAACCATTTTTGTAAAATATACAGTCAATTTACATCCAATTTGTTTGCGAATTTGCTTCAGAAAACGCCAGAATTGCAGTCCTAGAGCTTCAAAAATGGAACAATTTTTGGGGGGAGGACCCCCCAAACCCCCGTTTTCTCCCGAAACTTAGTATGACAGTACAAGTGATTATCACAAGAAGCTTTATTATAATTATTACACTTTCGGTAAATATTTCTTAATTAAAAATTCAAATTTCAGGTAAAATCCTCTGACAACCCCCCTCCCCCAACTTCAGATGCTTTGCTATGTTCCTGTAGACTGACGTGTGTCGAAAAACTAAAAAAAATTCCCGAAAGGATTTTTAAAATGGCCGAAAAAAGACAAATTTTGAGCCTTATCCTAAACACAGAATAGGAAGTTATACCAGAAGCGTAACTCGAGCAAATATTTGTCCGCGTTTTTACAAGCGATTCGTCATCAATCACGCCATCCTGGCTAGTACAACCGGCACTTTGTACCTACCAAATCCTGATAAAAACTTCCGGCTGTACTAGCACAGAATAGAAAATAAGACCAGAAGCCTCACTCAGCCAAAATTATGTCCGAGATTTTTTATGCGCAGGCGCGAGCCAGCAAGTGTAATCCACGCCATAAAACGCGAGCAATTACGCCATCAATTGCCATTACCAGGTAATAAAGATTGCTGTTTTAACCGTTTTGCTGACGAACGCTGACGTGATGTTCGCAGCAAGTGTCACACACGTCATCTAGCGTGCGAAATTCGTGATCCGCAAGGCGAAAATCGCGGACACGAAAATGTTAAGGAAAGGTGTACAGTGAGACTTCTGGTCGATTATATATTCTATGGTACTAGCCAGGATGGCGTGGCCTGACGTGAGCGAGTTAAAAATTTTCGTGGACGTCAAACAATAAGGGAAACGACTAGAGTTACGCTTTTGGTATAACTTCCTATTCTGTGTCCTAAGCACGCTGTTGCCATGGTAACAGACTTTCTGCGCAAAAGTAGCACATTGCAATGTTCAGGAGAGCATTGTTTTCTGGATACAAAAGTGTAGTATAATGCAAAAACCCTATGGAGCCACCTTAAAATAGTTTTTTTATTATTATTTTATGACTTTTAAACACAGAAATCACTCGTGGTCACTCATGTGTACTTTTAGACAAGATCTTGTTAATAATAATATCGTAAATATTAATTCCTGGATTAACTGTAATAAACTTTCCCGTAATGATAAGACAAATTTTGTTATTTTTCACCCACCTCAAAAGAAAATTACGTCCACAATAAAAATATTTATTAATCAAGTGCAAATTAAAAAGAAACTAGTCTCAAGTATTTAGGATCGAATCTATAGACCCTTTGCACTGACGTCACAAATCCTTAGAGTGTCCTCCAGATGCTCCCTAACAATATCTGTCTGGGTACAACAACCACACACAGCGCAAGAATTAACCATTTTAATACAAAATTATTATAAACTTTTAAAAAATTTGCTTTGTTTACAAAAGTTATATTATGCATAGATTGCTAATTTGTCCTCCAGATGCATCGTCACCGGCGCTGTGACGTCATGTGCAAGGGGTCTATATAGACTGTAATCTTAAAGATGCGGTACAGTCCGTATGTTGAATTTTATTCGACAACTATTTATATTTTCATGATTCTAGAGTATAATAAATTATCAAGACACAACAATCAAGCTTTGCAAGAACATGAAATGAAATAAAAACCTAAATAAACTGTTTGTAAATAAAAAGAGGGCTCCTTTGTGCACATGCGCAGATCGGACTGTACCGCATCTTTAATTGGAAAAGTCATATTTGTTACCTCACATGTAATTACACAATTTTATTATTCCTTAATTTACCCATATTTGACATATTGGGAAACACCTATATTTCAAATCTTAACCCAATAATAACCTTGCAAAAAAGAGTAGTTCGAATTATTACTTTTTCTAAATTTGACGATCATTCTAGTCCTTTATTTAAAAAATGCTGTGCTGAGTGGTTATATTACTACCTTAAAAAATTCTATTTTTTAAGGTAGTAATATAACCACTCAGCACAGCATTTTCACTTTGGTACTACCTACATTGGTACAGACAGTTTTACTTTATTTAAAAATCTTATTATTTTGAAGCTCGTTGACCTTTTTTCAAGCAACGCTTTATTCATGTATGATTATCATAATGGGAATCTTCCTGCTACATTTAATAACATATTCAAACAGGTCACATCAATACATAATCATAATACCAGATTAGCTTCTAAGAATACATATTATATTGATAAAATAAGAACTAACTATGGCAAATTCAGTCTTTGATTTCAGGGTCCTAAAGCATGGAATGATATTGATGATAAATATAAAACTCTTAGCAAATCATCCTTTAAGAATAAAATTGCGGAAAATATGATTTTCATTTACTAGCGCTGCCACAAGTATTCATGAATATACTTTTATAATTATACAAAATGATGTAAAACTCATTATTTCATTTATTTTATAAAAGGTCACCAGACTGGTTTAGTCTTTATTATTTCTGGTGACTTGTGCCATAATATTTATATATTTAAAAAAATCATGTAATGTTATTTTACTTGGTGGTGCAAAATAAATTGTTGTTGTTGTTGTTGTTGTTGTTGTTGTTGTTGATTCACAGGATTGATTTTAGAGATGAGGTTGTCAATATGCTTGTGCCATGTGTCATGTGATGTAATAAAATTAAAATTAAATAATTTCATACTCCAAGATATTTCATAGATTTCTCTCTTTTATTTTGAATGGTGATGTTTATGTGTGGAACAACTGTTTTCTATTGGCAGAGACCATGAACTTGGTTTTCTTGTAGTTCAGAGTGAGAGGGTTAATATTTACTTGAAGTTCGGCTGCTGACCATGCAGAGTAGTACAGTAATGTATCATCAGCATAGATAATCGATTTACATGCAGTGATTAAGACATTGAGGCAAGTACTCATTAATGTATATTTATGTATCTTTGCTAGTATATGTCGTTTTATCTGTTAATAGCATGTTTATAATAGATGCGACTGGTCTATAATAGCATGTCCATAATAGACATGGCAAAAATACCAATATATCCTGGTTACAGAGTAAGTACAGACTTAGGCTTACATTCTCTCTAGGCATGCGGTTATGTGTACTTCACTATACTTGATCAACTGTCGAAGTTCAATTGAACAACCCAATCTGATGCCAATGTCTATATATATGTATTTCTCAGTTTTTAAGTCTTTTTACAACTGAATGGTATTTTTGAGCCAAGGTTTTTAACATTCGTGAAATGTTATGCGGTAGTCATTTGAAATCACAGCCCCCCACCCCCGGGACATAGCGGGGAATTTAACACAACCAAGTGTTAAAAAACATTAAATCCCCTGCCCCTGGGGCAAACTGGTCTGTTAAAACCCTCGTATGGCCTGGCTTTAGTGTACCTAAACAAGACAAATTCCGCATCATGCATGCATTTGAATTACCTGTCTTCCGCAACTTCCAGATTGAATTTCCGTCAAGTATTGTATTGTATTGACAATGTCTGGTCATGCATATCAAAATATCGATATGAAAATGTAAATAAATATGCAAATATAAAAAGTAAACAATGCCAAATATATCCAAACAATGGAAAAGGCGATGCCTGATACTTATTGAATATTAACAGCAGCGGATGGCTGAGGATTAAGTATAAAATATAAAGTTTCAAACGCACATACCTGTCCAGGAAGTTTTTCGGGTTATCATTCCATGTTTCGCGCACCAATATAGGTTAGGGGGTAAGTACTAGGGTTAGGGGTTAGGTTAGGGTTACAGTGTGTTATATGTGTATGGAGGTATCTAGTGAACTTTTCAGTGCACTATAATATCCATTACATAACGTTTACTATATTGGTGCGCAAAACATGGAACGATATTTACCGTTTTTCGCCAGTCGCCATTTTCGTTTTTATGACCCTATCCGGTCATTTTAAGTCCCCAGTTTATCCCCGGTGTATTTATATATAGCGGCTGTTAAATCCTGGGTCAATTCCCCGGTTATAAAAAAGTTGTTAATTCCACCGCCCCACCACATTGTTAAATAGCGTTAAATCTCCGCTATGTCCCGGGAGTGGGGGGCGTGATTTCAAATGACTGAAGCATTAAGGGGTCACATCCATATTCATATTGCCACGCATAACGTCGAATCGACGTTATGAGTGGGTGGGTGGGTTTATCTCAATTCTCTCGACGTTATCTCGATAATCTCGTGGCAAAATGACAATTTTGTTAAAGTTTTGAAGAATGTGACTGCCACGCTCGACGTTATTTAGGGTGGGTGGGTTTGAGTGTTAACGTCGATTCGACGTTATGCGTGGCAACATGAATATGGACGTGACCCCTAAAATCCCTGCATAGTCCCGGGGGCAGCCACCAGCCGGGGTATACACAATATATATATATATATATATATATATATATATATATATATATATATATATATATATATATATATATATATATATATATATTCATGATTCATTTTATAGTACGTTTTTGCCTTTTGGGACATACCTCATCTTTTGATTCGTTATGTGGCACACAAAAAGAACCCTTAATTTCAACAATATTCTTATCAATGGTTCCTAAGAGTGTCCCAATCACCCTTTTCGCATCTTCGTTTCTCCTTTCAAAACTATCAACGATTGAAAATAACACAACTGGATGAATAACTACTTTACAGACGGCCATTTTGGAAGAGAACCAAGACACGTTTTTGGCACTGACCTCAAAATATTTATGGCTGCGAAAGTGCTGGATGATGCATTTACAAAATATAAACGGTAATTATCTTTATTTTTTATTACTTCTTTTTTATTATTTCGTAAATAATTTTTGCAATGTCTATGAAATTTTCACATTCGGAATTACCCTTTATTTTGTATTTGATAAAAATACAATCTACCTTTAATATCTGCCTACAAAATCGAAGCTCTACCACTCCAAGTTCATAGATCAGAGGCTATTAGTTCCCAGTCTTAGCCCAGTCTTAGCAGCGTGGTATTCAAAATGGCGTCAGAAAATGAAAAGAAGACTAACGATACAAATGAAATAGACAACAAAGAGACAGAAGAAATTGTCATACCTAACTCGAAAAGTTGCAAAGGAATAATTAAAGACCCGAATTTTGCTGTTGTTTGTTCTTTTATCAAGATATTTGGGCCATTGTTACACTTTAAAGAGCTTTCTATTGATACATTGCAACAGTTCTTTGACACTCCAACACGAGGTATCATTTTAAATATCACTAGAAGTAACCCGAGGGTAGAAGTGCGACCAATGCATGCACATACTCCACAATTACCTTTCTTAATCTGGTAATCATGCAATGCTGAATGTTAATACGCACCAGTGATAGTCAATAATTGACTATTTCGTCCATTTGACTTCAACCGCGGGGCTATCCGACTTTGCATGCGCATAATTTAGCAGTTTAATGGTTATAACAATTTCTGACAAATGTCTGATCAACTGTGTAGTTGTTTGGACATTGGCTAATAATGGTCGCCCAGCTTTTCAATATTTACACTTCATAGCTCATTATGGTCACTTCTTGTATGATCATTCACTTACGTTTTAGTAAGCAGTCCCAACAGTCCATGTAACCGAAAAGTTCTTGGTCCCACAGATACTGTTTTCAAAGTTTCAATATGGCTGGTACAATGGTCTGGTACCATAAACATGTGATCTGATTTTGTTGCCTGTCACCGCGAATCTAATAATGTACTATACTATACTAATCAAATAATGTACTTTTAATTTATTTGATTGGTCAAAATGTCCATGCAGAATAAAATTAATCAGCCATTTAGTGTTTTTGTTCAGCAAATACAGTAGCCGATTGTCTACCATAAGATTATAATTTGTGCCGGAACCAATGGTGAATATTTGATTTTTTCAAATTTGAAATTAAAAATTTCATGATTTGATGTGTTCATTGGAATTATTGGGCAAAAACCATTTGGTTATCTGACATTTTGTGTTCAAACTAGAAACTAGTATCATCAGGATACTTCCTATAATCCATCAGGATACTAGGATCTCAAATCCTGGCTTTACATGGCAAAAGTCAGAGGGCCCTTGTCATATGCTTTTTGCTGTAACACAAAACCCTATACACCATGGTTGATCCTTGAATCCCATGTTGCAACATATCTGAACATGCATCTTATGATCTGATGCAATGTGATGTATAATGAATATCATATGCAATGTGTACCAAATCATTGCAATGTATATGGTCCTTGACACTCCCGAAATTTCAGGTTGGCAAGAAATTGCCGACCTAATAGCAATAATACTCAATCTAGGTTGGCATATATTTTCAAAACAAATAGACAATATCAAAATGAAAATTTAATTTGCTTGCTGCAAATATGTGTATTTATATACAGCAATTAATTGCGATCAATGCCAATATAGCAAACAAAACAACTAACAAAATGTATGAACTCCAATCCAAACGGGTCACAAAAATACCCTTTCCCACCCGGCTCATTAATATCGCTCTCTGATTCTGAATAAAAATCGCAGTTTATAATATGTATTGGGAACACTGATATGATTGGGAACCGTGAGAATTTGTTTATAGATGCCATTACGCCAATGCAAAATGGGTTACACACTTTAATACACTTGATCCAATTTTGATTGTGACTATGGTCTACATTTCGTACCATAGCCCCGTATAAAATGGGCCAAGTATAAAATTGGCCAAGTATAAAATGGGCTGTGATAGTTATATCATAGAATAGGAAGGTATACCAGAAGTCTCACTCAAGCAAGTATTTGTCCGCGTTTTTACAAGCGATTCGTCTGATCATCAATCACGCCATCCTGGCTAGTACAACCGGCACTTTGTACCTATCAAAACCTGATAAAAACTTCCGGCTGTACTAGCCAGGATGGCGTGAGCGAGTTAAAATTTTCGTGGGTTACACTTCTGCTATACTTTCCTATTTTGTGGTTATATGCTGTATATTCAAATACATTCTTCAACCGGAATATAACCACACGTGGTTATTATTGTATTAACGCTATAGTAAAAATTTTTAAAAAAAAAGGGAACACGGCAAGATTTGATAAAAAAATCGTGCGGAGTCGGTGAGGTCCAAAAAAAAATGCGCCCCCCCCCAAAAATGCCCCCCCCCCCCATGAAAAATCAAATGGTCCGTCCCTTAGAGGAAAACGTTTGTGAAAAATGGAAATTTGAGGCAATATTAGGGAAATATATCTTTGAATGTGGAAGCGCTGACTAAACAAAATGGCGTCTGGTTAGGAAAATTTTAAAAAAAAAGAACTTAAAACCGACCTACCCTACCTAAGTTTGTACAAGAAGAAATAGGAAACCCACATATTTTTTTTTGCCTAAGATGCTACAATTGAAGGCCAGTGGCATGCTGGCCCATGTTTGCCAGGGGAGGCCCAAGACTAGATGGGAATCCGGCGCCTCCTTTCTTCCTTGTAATTTGTATATGGGCGAACATTATAACGTGAAAAACGCATACCCTTGGAAAATTTTGAAATCAATAGTCCCTGAAAAGCCATTTCTTGCGTTTTGACGAAATATTTAGGTAAATAAACTGCAAATGCATTGAGGAGTAAAGGTATTGGTATTTGGATATACAACTGTTTCAAAAAAGGTTGTCCTTCAAAAATTTCAAACCTTAAACTCTAAGCGTGCAAGGTGTGATCATGGGCGGATTCACTGGGGGAGTTAGGGGGTTACACCCCCTGTAGAATGTCTCTAACCCCTCTAATAAAGTGTTCAATCCCACCAAAATTTTGCTTCACCCCTCCTATTTTGTGTGAAATGCTTTAACCCAAACGGCTAACCCCTACCGAAGCTCACTGAGTGGTGCCACTTGCACCCCACCAGAAATTTTTCTACCCCTCCTTTTAAATAAATGAAAATCCACCCTTGGGTGTGATGGGTGTGTAACTTCTTATTTAAGGCCTAAAATGTGCGCATTTTGCATTGTAAGTATGGCAAGGCAGATAATAAGCACTTAAAATGTACAACTAGCAGTGTAGTAGGATTATTTGCCCAATTCAAAGCTCTAAAAAGAAGTTATCCATCACTCTTTGCGCGCTCAGAGTTTAAGGTTTGAGATTTTCGAAGGACAACCTAGCTGTATACCAAATGGGAAGTTGGTGAACGACTGAATGAGTCTTTGTGCGAGAGATGTAAATTATGTTTACATAGTTTTCTAATTCTATGAATAAGGACAAAGTTTGATTTGTAAAAATGTTAATTTACAAAAGTGCTTTTGATAGTTCCATTGACGTCGTTGCACGTAATGCGCATGATCGCTCTTTGTCTAGAGACTGAAAAATTCCCCGCTCAATAGCCATCAAAAGTAAAGGCTTCCAAAAGTAAGGCTTCCAAAAGTAAGGCTTCTAAGTGCTGAGAATGAGCGCTCAGCAGTGGCAGAACTGATAGAGATAGCAACCGCAATCACGTACACTTTACAAAGTGTGGATATGCAAGGTGGAATGTAATGAGGATGCGGGAAAAACTAAAAGAGAGCAGTTGCACTTCGAAAATGAAGGTGCAAAGGTGAACAGCTCTTCGGCGCAATATGTGCGATATGTCGTGCAGAAACTGGTTATGCTGGATTCCTAGTCGCGAGCATTTTGGAAGTTCTCCACACGTTCTGGGAAACCGTTTGCGGAAAACATTGCAAGCGACTGCAATAATGGCCGGTTCTTCTCGATACGATTTCTCATCGAATTGATGACGGTGTCAACAGCAACATGGAAACTTTCAAAACGTTTCTTCCGCACTGTTACAAATCTGTGTTTGTCTACCCTGGATTCCAGAGCCTTCGACAGTAAATAATAAATTGAAATGTCGCGAAGGCTCTGGTTCAACGGGGCGATTCTTTGATTAAACCGCGCCAATCACAAAACAGAATCAGTGGTTTTAGTACAGATTCTGTACTAAAACCACTAATTCTGTTTTGTGATTGGCGCGGCTTAATCAAAGAATCGCCCCGTTGAACCAGAGCCTTCGCGACATTTCAATTTATTATTTACTGCATGTCGAAGGCTCTGGAATCCAGGGTAGTGTTTGTCACTTTGTCACTCAAAACTTTACTATTGTATAAAAGTTTTCCCACACCTTAGGAGGCGTGACTTGTCAAAAAGCTGTCAAAACGTGATTGATTGGGAAAACGTTGAAATTTCGAACGCAAACAATTGAAACAAACGTTGAAACAAGTAACGCTTAACGGTGGCTTGTAAATGGCAGTGAAGTATAAACGACGAGTCGACGACGATGTAATAAGAATTGTCTTGCATACCAGCTAATATCAAACAATCTCATTATTCAAACTCTTTTTCTCTCATTTGCCAATCGGATCTAAAAAATTCCAATTCGGACTGGCGCTTTTGTGGGTGCTTTCGGTGATTTTGTGCAATTTCGGTGCCCCATTTATGCTTTGGCGCCCCCCAAAAATATGTTCGTGGGGGGGGGGGCATGGCCCCGGCACGTCACTGTATAATGAAGGGTATTGTATGTGGAAATTATCGAGTGGAAATTTATATACATTTATTACACCTAATAACATCTGCGAAAAACGCAACTTTAGGTCCCTGTTAGAAATCGATCTGCGCGGTGCTGCGATTCCTTGCAATGCTCTAACCAACTGATCTCAGAGGCTAATTGTCAAGCTCTAACCACAAGTTCATGTACATATATACTGGGTATCTATACCCTGTCTGCCCTAAGTCTCCAACCACCATGTTTTAGCAAACAGTAATTGTAAACTTATTTGTGCAGATAACCAGGAAGATATACAGGCACTGTTTATAAAATTATTAAGAAGAGCTGGTTGGAGAGTAATTCCTGAAAAGTGGGAGAAAGGTTTACTCAAGGTAGGTACTGTTTCTCTGTTGTCAGACTTTTAAGACTGTGAGTTTGTGTGAGATGAGAAAATTTGGGGGCATTCAATGTGCATAGCTTAACTTCCAATTTGGAAGAGTGTGCATACAGTAGTTCGCTGAACATAAATTTTGTCTACACTAAAAATTTGAAGATAGAGCCCACCATAATATTTATTTTTCTGTACAATGGATGATATAGGAGCTTGGGGTACAATGGGTGGTGCCCATGTATGTTTACACCAACCAGATGTATAGTTACCAAAATTTCTCTGATCTATGAATCTTTTTATGGCACGTACAGTAACTCCTATAATAGTAAAGCAAGCACAGCCCCTTCCTCTAGAAAATCTGGTAATGGGTCTGTGGGGGTTCCAAGGCATAATTGCATGGTACTGTTATTTCGTTTTCATGATCACAACTGTATTCAGCGCTGTGTGTTATTTGACAATTGACAGTTTGTAAAAGAATTTAATATTACAATTGCCTGGGACTTGGAACAGTTTGGATTTAGAGGACTCTCAGGTGAAGCAAAGTTGGCAATACTAAAAGTAAGAAAAAGTTAATTTGTGATTTTATTGTAGATAAAATGTATATATATTCATCCATCACAACCTACATGTAAGACCATAAGAACATTGTGAGAAAATGTAGTCAAGAACTTACTGGATGTTGTTTTGTTCATTTTAGCATTTGCTGGAGTCTCAATTTGATAATAATGACAAATTCAAAAGTGCAGTAAACTGTGAGCTCACTCCAGTTGATCTGAGACCTCGTCCAGTGGGGAGCGATATTGATGGACTCATTTATTGGTTTCACGAGGTAAAGCTGAACGTCATTCAAATAACAGAGGATCCACAATAAGATTCATAGAATTACTGTAATTTCAAATCCTGTGCTCAATTGTGTATATATTCTGCATTTTTTTGTAGATCCCGTGTCCTTTCTTCCCTTTCCCCATTTTATGATATATTAATCTTGCCCTGGATTCATAAGCAAAACCCATTGTGTGGGGATCATAACAATGATCACCAAGACGAATTGCACATACTGTAGTCTAGGTTACAGTCTACATTACACATGTTGCTTAAATTTTGGCACACAGGAAATGATAAAGTTCACTGCAATGATGGAGCTTGATCAAACAATAACAAGCCAACAAGGGTTGGTTTATGGGTTGATAGGAGATTATTTTTTGTTAAGCACATAAGAGGGAAGAGCCTGAGAATGAGGTTGTGTTAAGAAAGACTTCAGTCAGATTTTTGGATTTTGTTAAATAAAGTTTTTACTAGAGGTTTTTTGAGAATTTCAAAATATTGCCTGTTAAAGTACAATGTTGTCAAAAATACGTTCGAAGTCGCTCTAAGAAAATGCAGTTGGCAGCTTGTAGCAGAAAATGCCATCAAACAAATTTTGGTGTACATTTTTAGGTTTTCACCGGCCGTCTATTTGTGATCTGTTGATCTATTATAATATAATAAGTTAATTTGTTGATCCTGTTAGCCATTTCTGATGCTTTAACATTACATTGTTCTTCTCATGCAGGATGAACTCTTGCAAATAAGATTGTATTCAACTGAAGAAGATGAACTGGATTGTGAGGCATGGAAAGTACTGGCATGGTGAGCAACTGAGCATTTATATTATTGGATTGTTAGATTTACTTTATGTTTTATGCATTATCATGGTATTAAACAATTTTTCAACAGAGACCCATGCTATATTAGGCGAAGTGTAGGAATTTAAGATTGAAAAATCCTTCCAAGCGAAATTATAGCCCTTTGAAATATGCAAAAAGCACCGAAACAGTTTCTCAAATAGATTTATATTTACAAGTATACTTTGTAATTTTATATTTATATGTATATGTATACTTTGTAAAACTGTTAATCTTGAAGGATTCTATAAGGCGACAGTAATTACAGTATCTTGGTCGAAATTAATTTATGAAGATAAAAGAATAACTATTTTTCGAATATTTGGAGAATTTTGTAATTTAAGATCTTTTCATACGTATCTAAAAATAATTTAATACCTTTTCGACTGAAAAATTAAAAGCGAAATCGACTTGAAAATCAACTCGAAATCGTCGAGTACAAAGACGAAATATATACTACATGCATGGCAATAATGTGTAAGATATTTTATGTAGTGAGGTTGAAGAAATCATGGATGTTGTGCAATATCTTGAAAAGAAATCAGAAAACAATCCGAAAGACGTTGCGAAAGGAAAGAGAGATGAAAGACGACAACAACGTGCTTTGAAAGAAAAAGAAAAAGAAAAAGAAAAGGCAAAAGCAAAGAAAAAGAAAGGTATAAAAGCAAAGAAAAAGAAAGGTATAAGTGATGAAAAGTCACAGATGAAAACATTGCCTGCTGTCACGTGGAATTTTAATGTTTTTCAAGAGCATTTGAAAAGCATTAAGCTATACGTTTATACACGCTGCGATTAATCGTGTGCGATTGGTTTTCTGGCGTATGTCATTGAGTAAACACGCGTAAGCTGGCAAATCGTAGCGTGTAAACGTGGCTTTAGACAGGTTTAAGCCCTGGTCTAACGAGATGATGTTGTTGATGAGAGTTGAGAAGCGTGAGTTTGCGTGAGAGGTTCCCAACTCTCATGCCAAACGAGAACAAGAATTGCATGAAAGTTGAGGAGAGTTGACTGGACCAGTTCAAAGTTAATGAGAGTTAATGAAAGTTCATGGGAGTCGATGAGAGCTGGCTGTCAAATGCGAGCGAGAGTTGCATCTCTCATTTAGGCAAAATTCGATTAATTGCTCAATTGAAACCCTCAATTGTTCGTTACTGACGTTGCATGCCGTTTCACGCGAGAATAGATCGATTAAACGACGGTACTATAAGATAAGTATTTATCGTCTGATTCGCGTTGTTCTTTTTTAAAAGTATGGTGTTGTTTAAGTTGTAAATTTCAATAGTACTGAAAATGAAAAATTACAGTGAAATTCATTTATTGCAGGTAAAAAGTCGAAAAAGCAAGCGAAGTCTGAAAGCAGCGAGTCAGCAGCTAGTGATGAAAGTGATATGGATGATGATAATCCCTGTGCAAGATGTTATTCCAGTGTTCATCCTGAGTGGGTAAGACTGGAGATCAGTGGCGGACATTAGCGAAGGGGAGACCGCCCCCCCCCCCCAATATTTTCTTAATGATTAACTTAGTAAATATGAAAGTCTTGTATCCTTTTAACGTAGCTTAATTGATACAGTTTTCAAATGATTCAGGTGTACAACAGTTTCAATTGACATGTTCAAACTTCGCACTAACGTTTCAGACTAACAACAGGCAAAATAGAAAAAGTTCTATGATGCCATTTTCTTTAAAAAGCCAAAATGGTGGTCATTTTCTTCAATATTAACATTCTTTTGGTATTACATAATTTTTTTATTTTTTGTATATAACGAAAGACTGTTTGTCAATACAGCTTGCAAAATTTGAGCATATACTACGGGTTACCGGAGAAAATAATGAGATATAGCGCATTGTTTTTCAAAAATTGGATTTTTTAATGACGTCAGCACGGTTATGAAACACGCACAGTGGCGCGAGATGGCGTGAGCAACTCGTCAACGTCATGTCATATTAGAAGTTCTTTAGTTCATGTTCCCACAGAAACGAATAACCACGCAGGCTTGTTCACATAGCATAAAGTTTTGTTTTCACGATTATTGCATATATAAAGTCTGCCCCAGGATTTGTTGCTGTGTAGTGTATATAGGAAACCTTGGGTTACCTATGCTATATCCTACACGAAAATCACAGATCGATCGACAAACCACATACTAGTCATTACGATATATGTATGTACGTGTATTTTGATATATATATATATATATATATATATATATATATATATATATATATATATATATATATATATATATATATATATATATATATATATATATATTTATTTATTTCATTTATATTATATTTTATATATAGATCCTGCTATGTGATAAATGTGACGCTGCTTATCATACAGCATGTTTAAGACCTCCACTTATGAGCATACCAAATGGTGAATGGTTTTGTCCTTATTGTAGCACGGTATGTTTTACAAAAATACAGAGCGTGATAATACTTAATAGGATGACTGAATGCCGTACAGAGACGTGATGTGCTTAATAACTCATGTAAGTCGAGTTATGTTCAGACATCGGTCGTCACCCAGAGACGCCATACAATCGTTGACAAAACCCTTTGGGCAGAAGGGCATCCAACCAGGGGCATCGCTAGCCCTGTTTTAATGGAGAGGTGTAAGTGCAATTTTGCCGACTGACCTCAACCACGAATTGATATTTCTTTTCCCAAAGTTCTTGGGGGGGGGGGGACAAAAAAAAATTTAAAAAATGTTCCAGACATTCAATTTTATTTTCTTTAATTGTTCCTTCAGTTCTTTCGTAAATTGTTGCTAAAAATGTTAGTTTTTAATCAGTGTAACTCTAAAGGCCCATACAGACCGGACGCGATTCGAATTTTCAATTTTCAATGACATTTAACTGTGCTATTTTTCTATATTTTTCAAGTATTCGGAACACTTAAGCAATTTTAGCTATTTGATCTGCATATCTTGTAATATCTTTTATGCGTCGACGGTTTTATTTGTTTTTAAAAACTGAAAGTTCGCGTCGCGTTGTCGAATCGCGTTCGATCTGTGTGGACCTTTATATTTCAGTTTTTTCCACCCTCTTAATCCCCGCGTTCCCTTACAGTGTTGTGTTATAGTATTTTATCATAAATATAAAAACATGATGTCATACAGCAACATTGCTTAGGGGGATAGGGGGATATTCGGCTATTTATGAATCTTAATTTTTAATCATTCAATTTTTGACAATGTTTTTCAAATTGCCCGAGTATGTTTTGTCAATGATGTTTGAACTGCGTCCCTTGTAATTCAGCACTCAGCTTCGATAAAGATAACTAGTCTTGCACCCACTACCTTCACTTCACTATCTTGCAGTTGATACTGATTGACACACTTAAAGAAATATATTCCAGGATATCCACTCGTATTAAAGCTCGCAGCAGAGCAGCCACCAGGTAAAAGTTCAAAAAATTGTTTCATCCTTTTTGTCCATGTTTCTATTTCACAGGTTTAATTTTTTTATTAAATGTCAGCCAAAATGAAATTATTTTAGTAAGTGTTACAAACACTTAAATTTGAGATGGACATACAGATAAATGTTCAGAAAATTTCACGTTTGTTGAACTAACAGAGATCTTAGAGAGCATGCAAGACGGCAATCGTTACAATAATGCATATGACTCTGTGGATGTGCATGCATACATATATTCTAACTTTCTTTTCACCCATGCATCGAATTAACTTTATCTAGTGTCAGGAGGTTGAGACAAGTGCTCCGCGGTTAAGTGAGAGTTTTTATGACAGTTCTATGCCACTACTAGCCCGCGACTCGTACTTATGCTCTCGTTTTGTGTACGACGTGTTCCAGGATCGTCCGCCGGCCTATTTAATTATTCATCTCTTTTCTATTCTATGGGAAATTTTGGTATATAAGTAGCCGTTGTCATCGTGTTTCTGGCTATCGTAAAAACTATTGGTTGGTTATAAATGACCAAATTAAAATGAAGGATTTGCCATACAGCTACTCTGAATGCTACTCTGCCCTTTAATGTGCGCATGCTCAGTTACATTTCCCCCCATTTTTTGCCTAATATGGAAATGGTGGGTAAAATGTTTTTATACGTCTTATTTGCATGTGCCTTGTGGTTTGTGTTGAGCTAACAATGTCCTTGTGAGATTTTATAGTTCTCTACCTTAGAAAACTATATCCCACAATCATGAAAACAGACTGACAGAACGTACTTAAATACCATTGTGTGCGTAATCTCTAACGTAGCTCATATCTGCCACGACACTATCTGAAAGTTAATTCAGACTGTGTTGCCAAACGGTGAGCTAAGATTAACATCCAGTAATAAGAAACAATAGTCAATGTTGTGACGATTTGTGCCGACAACTGGAGAAATTTTAACTTCTAGCACGACGACTTTCAATAAAACAGTAAAATGAGTGAGGTTTCACAAACCAAGTGGTTTGGGTTGATGTATGAACGACGTTCAGTCGTTCACTATAACAATATCCAATATCCGGACGACACACTTAAACTATGTGAATTCCAATAAATTTATACGCACATACAAATAATTTTATTTCCACTGTGACCTAGAGATATGTTCCAACTTCGTAACAGAGCTTTCCGCACTAAGCCATAGGCATAGGTTGGTTAATTTTCAAAATTGTCTGAAGTTGCAAAATTGTAACAGCCAATTAAGTCTATCCACGCGTTATCCACGTACTTCGTACAGAAAGATCTATTGCAATGTTTGAAATTGGTGCGTTGCGGGGCAGCAGGTAGTTGTCAACTTTGACACTCATGGGTTGCAACAGTTAATTTATATTTCTGCCCTCTTTTGTTTAGACAAAAAGGAAGCGGCATCAATTTGTCCAACATACGTCAGTCGGGAAGAGTAAGAAAAACAGTCGACTACACCTTCTCTGAATTTGATCAGGAAATCTTTGACGCTGTAGACAGAGATGGCCGAAGAAAAGGAGCTGACGAGAGCTCACAGTCCATTGCAACTACACATGGTATCAGACAATCAAAACGTCGTCGAATGCTTTACAATGATAGTGATTCGGATTCCAATTATGATCCTGGCAGTCCCATGGTAGGACCACAAATCCCCAAGCATCCCGAACGACACGTGTACTTAAGACGCCACGAAAATGACGTGGAAAATGGCAATAGTGATGATGTTGAAGAAGACAAACAGGAGGATGTATTGAAAGGAGAAATATACGATGAAAGGGCTGGTAATGATACTGCCTTGCCAAGAGATGATGTTGTGTATGACGGAGCCTCTCTTGAGTACAACAAGCCAAGTAATACAAACTCTGATACTGCTGGTGCTGGTGCAGGCAGTAATCAGAACGATGACTCTGGTTCTATGAGTGATCATGACATTACCAAGTTAATTAATCAAAGCTCTAAAGCACTGACAGATTCAGTAAATACAAACAGTCAGACCGATTACACTAGTTCGGTTGAGAATAACAAGCTGAGTGATAAGAACCTTGATACAGTTGGTAATGGCAGTAGTCAGACCATTGATACTAGTTCAGTTGACAAGTTAAATAATCAGATCCCTGCAGAGGACGAGAAAATTTCAGTACATACAACCATTCAGGCGGATGACTCTGGCACAAGCAGTCCAATTGAACACAACAGTTCAATCAATATTAGTCTTGTCAGTGATCAAGACATGCTATCTCCGAATCTAACGAGCGAAGATACTTCAAAATCGTCAATCAATAACGCCCAAGTACAGACCTCTACAGAAACAAGTCGTAACGGTGATAACATAGTGAACGGCAAACAATGTACGCAAGTTGAGTCAAACTGTAATATGTTGAATAGTCGTGATATTAATTTGTTAACACAAGAAAACGAACAAGCGGACTCGATTCAGAAAAATCCAGACCATCTTTATGGATCACAAACCATTGCGTAAAATGAAAACCTTACGTAAAATTTTCGTGTGTATAATAATTCTATACTATAGACATAATGTTGGGCAACGGGGCTCATATACATATGTTTAAATGCTTTTTATTAATAGCGAAATATATATGTATTATATATATATTTCATTTGTGGAAACTACCATACGTAATGACTAATGTACAAATTGATTCCGATACACATTTTAAATGTATTTGTAACATGTATTTAGAAATAAATATTTGAATCTTTTTCGTTGTTGCACTAAGCATCGATTCTTCTGATTGCCTGCATCAGCCAGTCCTAATTATTCTAAACTAAAGTGCTAAACAAACCTTACACGAATTTTATTTAATTAATCTTGGCGTAAGAACTAAGAATTAGGCTTAGTAGCCTGTGGACAGGTTGTATTCGCCATGTATATGTGTTATCTGATTGTGTTTGTTAGCCGTATAATTCAACTGAGAGATAACATGACCATAATGATCGGGACAGTGAGCCTTTTTCATTTTGTGCACTGCGTGTCGCGTGACTATGATTGTGCAAATTTAAACCGGATATGAGATTTTCGCCAATAATTTGAATATTGTTGCTAGGCTTTGCTGTTGTGGAGTGTTACTCCAGCATTATCGTTTATAAAATATAGCTTATTTCTTTGTTTCCTGCGCACTATATGTGGAACTAAAGCCCGTTGTTGGATATTTTAGGTCATTCAGAATTTTCACACAGACTCGGGGGGTATCAGTTTTCATAGCAATGCCAACAACACTACCTCGCAAATGGGGCATGGAAATATTACATTTGCACGTAGTTTAGAACATTACTGGTAATATTGTAATGTGGCTCACTCATATTTTGCCTCAGAATCGCCACGTCACTTACGCCAGATGTCTCAAGAAAATCATGTGAATTTAATTAAACAGTATTGTGTCTTAAACATTACGTAATTCTTATAATTTTGCTTCTTAGGTCATGTATCTAATTTAAGACTGAGCGGTGGCCAGGGCATGGGATAAAAGCAAGGGAGCTGCAACTTTCTGTTTAGTTGGAGTGTACGATATCTAAGTTTAAGAAACTAGGTATATTATTAGTAAGGTTAAGTCGGAACTGCAAGATTCTTAACATATTTTTAAATATTTTCATCAAGTTATTTGTGCATGGTGAAGCCAAATCTATTGGTAGTTATTGACGGGAAAGATGTATTCTTTCCCGGGGAAACTGTACGAGGGGCAGTCGTAATTCAGTTAGAGGAATCCTTAGAAGCAAAAGCTGTTGTGTTGAAGTTCCTCGGGAAAGCACACTGGCACAATGATGATGATAGCGAAGCTTCCCATGGTCGAGGATACCTTTTCAACAACGAAATCACGTTGGTAAGTCCTCAACTACAGAAACGTGAATCAAATATCATTCTAGATAGTGGTAAGCATAGCTTTCCTTTCGAGTTTATCCTACCCTCTGAGCTGCCAACATCCTATCGCCATCACTATGACGTCCAACATTGGGAAGCCTGGATATCATATACTATTGAAGCGGTCATTGAGAGAAAATTCTACGAACGAAACGATACCTACTCGCTAGAATTCCGCGTGCAAGAAGAGCGTAATCTCAACCTCATGCCAGATTTGAATGAATACAGCGAAGTGTTAAGCGAGAAGAATGTTCGCTCTTTCTTTGGTTTCAGCTACGGTTTATCTTATGTCAAGTTGTCTGTTCCAAAACGAGGCTACTACTTGGGGGATATTATCAATGCGACTGTGGACATTGATCACGCTGCATACACCAATCAAACGAAGGAGGTTACACTCGAGCTGGTACGTGAAACCTCGTATTTAACTTTGAAAGACAAATCACGCAAGACAACAAGTTTAACCATCAAGAAAAGCTTACTACAAGAAAGTCTACAGGCAAACACAATGTACAAGTGTTCTGATTTTCTGTCTGTTCCCATGGATCTCACACCGGATGTGTATGTTAAAGATTGTCTGCAGATTAAATATTTTCTTCTACTCACTGTTCGACAGTTGACTGCACGAAACATTACATGTCGTCTTCCACTCATCATTGTAAAACGCCCGGAGTCGGAGATGTATTATTTGAAATAGACTAAACAGTATAATCATGCATTGCTATTTCTGCGTGATGTGATTTATATATCAGACCTAATTGACAGAAAACTGGACGTGATCAGTTTGACGTCCGTTACCATTAGCCAATCAGATGCGTTTGATATATCCGATTTACTAAGCCAGTGAGAGAGAGAGTGCATGGTACTTATGATGGTAGCGGTAGTGGAGGTCAAATATGAACCTCTCTATTAGGATCGATGGGTCAATTCAACCTCTCCCAGAAAAACGCTGTAGTATCAGTTATCATATCAGTTAGAGAGCTTAAGCAGTGATCATTTTTGTCAACAACATCGTCATGTGCATGAAAAAAACTGGAAAGGACTTTGGGAAAGTTTAGTACTAAGTTAACTATTACGTGATTTTAAGGTTGTTGTTATCGTTTAATATTTACTTATTAAAAAAGTAATGCTGTATTTCACAATGCCAATGGCTATTAGATCCTATTATACAAGGTGTTTTCAGGGTCGGCGTTTTCAGGGTTGGTGTTGTAGTATAGTATTTATATTATATAATTATATACTATACTGTCTATCTAGAAAATATGATTTGATCAATTTATTAGATACAAGTTCTGAACTTTTTGACAGAAATGTTGCTATAAACAAAACGCTCTTATTAAAAACGTTTTAACAAACAGAAAATTATAAATTTTATTTTTTAATTAATCTGAACGATTTTTATGAAAACTTCAAACCAACACACCAGTGACCAGTGTGGTTTATATTTTTATAACAATTTTGCTTAGGTCTGGAAACTAAAATGAAGAAAGGGACAGAAAGAAGAAAGTTTAATATCTCAGAAGTGATTAATTAAATTAAATTTGGTACGTTCCATTGAAATGAATATATCTGGAACTCTACCTCCAATTGGAAATGAAGGCGAGCCAGCCTTTCACGCTTGAGGGTTCAAAACAAAATAAGCAGTTCAACTGAAGGTAGAGTTTCAGTTATATTAGAGACCAGACTGCATGTATCTGTAAAATTCCACCAAATCGATTTTTTACTAGAATAATTGTCAATTAAAAAAACTCTGCTATTATGGTCTGAACGAATAGATTGAAAAATTTAAAAAAAATATCCCTCACTGGTTAGTGGCCTCTGACTTCGCAATGAAAAAGCAGAAACGTACGTGATCATGACTGGGCCAAGGCCAAGTGACTGAATGAGGCCAAAGACCAATTATGACGAGGCCATGTGAAGGCGCGAGCGGCGGCATTCCGATTAGTTGCTACTGTATGTAAATTTTATGGCATTTTTTTATTACTTCCGTATAGTACGCCAAAAAGTTGACTTGCGACGAACTTTTTATTTTGATACGCGAATACACCCGGAATTCCCGGAAGTACGTGGATTTATAAACCTCTTTTCAATCTGCGCATGCTCACCAGTACGTTTCGGTACGATACGATACGGGCGAAGTGGAAAACCGGCTTAATACTTTTAACGAAGTTACTTACAGCACTGCCGATGTAGCTGATATTGCCATTGGAATCATTAAAACTGTTTAAATTAATCAGTCAGTAACTTGTGTTTCACATATAGCCTGCACAATGGAACTGCCCAAAATTATTTTTGTACACACTAGCATATATGTACTATTAAAACACGAGCAGAATCGAGTGCTTGTACTATAACTTACTATTTAAAACACGAGAGCGCAAATCGAGTGTTTTATATGTCTTATATCTGAGTCAAAGCACGGTCTGCGAGCGTTTTAACTGGCTTTACCTTTATATAGAGATGTAGGACGGCAAGCGACGACGACGCGGCCAAAACAAATTCATTCAAATAAATTATTGTAAAGAAAGCTTAATATCGTATAAATTCTCAATCGGACGAATTTAAAACCGCTTAACGAGATCAAAACACAGGCTTTCTATTAGTCTATTCGGCCGGAGTAGAATTGATGCACATTAGTCATTACTCATTACTCATTAGTACTGAACCAATTTGCTGGGTATATCCACTTCTTAATATACGTCCTAAAATGCAAACGTTGTACACAGGACGTAAAAACTCTGGTTTTAATACCGGTTGTAAACAGACCGTGGACGACGTATAAATCTCCCGTGGTATATTTTAATTATTCATGTATTTTCTTAAATATTATCACTCATCATTGTATTACTAGACGTCGTCGTCACGTTGTTTTCATTCATTTTTCCCCCTTATTCTTTAATTTAAAAACTATTTCTTAGAATCATATAAGCTGGGTATCGCCAGTATTGTAATCAGTGATATTGTATAACTTATATATGTCATATGAATTTATAATCCTATAAGATCTTTTATATATTTTTCTCACTATATAACTAGCTTTTAGACGTTTTCAAGTAGAATTAATAACTTTGTATATATATATTGTATATTCATGAGGGTTTTTCAGTTCTATTGCTGTCATGTGTTTTTACCCCTTAATCTTTAACTACTACAGTAGATAAAACATGTACAAACTCGAGCCGAAGGCGAGAGTTTGTCAGTATCAGATAAAGATCGGATGCGAATGTTTTATCGTGCTTATAAAACGACCCATCTTATGAGTTCATTGGCGAAGTAATTTTAAAAATAAACATTGTCATTGACATTGTCTAAGCCGAGAAAATCAAAGCTAAAGTTTATGTAAATCAGGACAAATCTTTATGCGATTTACAAACATTCATTAAACTTTAAACATTCATTTCCATAGATATCTTATCTATGTTCATTTCTTTTGTATTTTCCTCATGAATTATTAATGAGTTTTATCAATAAAGTTGTTCATTCATTCATTCATTCGATCAATGGTAAGTGAAGGGTAAGTGTACATCATCACCGTTTAGGCGTTTATGACTTTATGTGGTTGTCATAGCAACACACTAATTACCAGGACTCTTTGTCCTATTTGTTCCGAATTGATTGCTTCCAAGTTCCAACAAAAAAGGAATTTTTGTGATTTCCATTTATTATATTAAATTGTATATATAAGGTACTTACTATATATAAGAATTTAAGGCATCTGCATTCGATATAAATAATTATAGTTGGGTTTTGTTCAATGGTAATTTCGAGTGCGAAATTTATATATTTATGAACTTTACTAGTAACCCTCAGCTATGAAGAAAGTGGCGAAAAATGCCGAACAGGCCTTCTGGTAGGAATCGGCCAACGGCCCTACGATTCTGGTTCGCACGTAACAGTACCATCTACAAAACCCATCTACGTACATTTGTATATATTCTTGGGTTTATATGACGTCACAAAAGTGACGGGGGGTCAACTCTAAATCAAAACACAGTTATCAGAGTGAGTCGATTATTTGTTTTATGTATTAGCCTTGTGTTTGGTGGCAAATACGTGAAATTTCGCATCATTTTCTCACTCCAATACAGCATAAGCACCAATACATTTGGGGTTGACCCCCGCCCCGTCAGATTCACTGCATAATGCCGTAGTGAAACCCAAGAATATACTATATGTATCAAATTGACATTCGATACTTCGATACATTTGACATATGTTTTGGGGCTGCAATGGGTATTCTTGGGTTTAAATCACGTGATATTCTAGCACAATTTGACTGAAGTGGGGGTCAATCATTGAAATGAGTTGAATAATTCAACTTGAATTAATAAAAAAAAAACAAAGAAACAAAATGGCTAACGCATCTTATGTAAATGAGTTCTCCGATTATTATAAAAGCCAATATGAAACAATATGTATGATATAAAGCCATTCAGTTTGCCCCTAAGCTTTACATAGATTCTTGACCCCCCACGTGACGTCATTTGATTTATTATGAACTGAGTCGGAATGTACGATATCGAAACTAGGTATGAAGTGAGGTAAGTCGGAACTGCAGGATTCTTAATATATTTTTAATTAAATATTTTCATCAAGTTATTTGCGCATGGTGAAGCCAAATCTATTGGTAGTCATTGACGGGAAAGATGTATTCTTTCCCGGAGAAACTGTACGAGGGGCAGTCGTAATTCAGTTAGAGGAATCCTTAGAAGCAAAAGCTGTTGTGTTGAAGTTCCTCGGGAAAGCACACTGGCACAATGCTGACAAAGAAAGCCTCGCAGCTTCTAATGTATGCCTTTTTAACAACGAAATCACGTTGGTAAGTCCTCAACTACAGAAACGTGAATCAAATATTATTCTATATAGTGGCAAGCATAGCTTTCCGTTCGAGTTTATTCTTCCCTCCGAGCTGCCAACATCCTATCACTATGTCCTCGCAGATGTTTATCACCTTTGTTACGCCTGGATATCGTATACTATTGAAGCGGTCATTGAGAGAAAATTCTACGAACGAAACGATACCTACTCGCTAGAATTCCGCGTGCAAGAAGTACGTAATCTCAACCTCATGACAGATTTGAATAAATACAGCGAAGTTTTAAGCGAGAAGAATGTTCGCTCATTCTTTGGTTTCAGCTACGGTTTATCTTGTGTCAAGTTGTCTGTTCCAAAACGAGGCTACTACTTGGGGGATATTATCGATGCGACTGTAGACATTGATCACGCTGCATACACCAATCAAACGAAGGAGGTTACACTCGAGCTGGTACGCGAAACCTCGCTTTTAACTTCGAAAGACAAACCATGCATGTCAAGAAGTTTAACCATCAAGAAAAGCTTACTACAAGAAAGTCTACAGGCAAACACAATGTACAAGTGTTCTGATTTTCTGTCTGTTCCCATGGATCTCACACCGGATGTGTATGTTAAAGATTGTCTGCAGATTATATATTTTCTTCTACTCACTGTTCGACAGTTGACTGAACGAAACATTACATGTCGTCTTCCACTCGTCATTGCAAAATGCCAGGAGTTCGAGATGTATTATTTGAAATAGACTAAACAGTATAATCATGCATTGTTATTTCTGCATGATGTGATTTATCAGAGACAAACATTATATTAGGAACCTGGTGGGGAGGGTGACTTTCACCCACCCCTCCTCAAAAAAGGGAAAAACAAATTAGAAATCATAAAACTGGCCATTTTGTCACAACATAGTCATCGGTAACGGCTCGATTTTGTACCCGTGGCGTAATAGTTTAGTATTTATTCCTTACTGCATGTAGCATGGTTAAGCTCTTAATAAAGATAAGCTTGATAACGTATTTTGAGATATACTATATACCGAGCCAAGGATTCAAAGATTTCTTAACAAGCTTAACCTTACTAGAATCCGAGCTCGAATTCCGAGCTCGAATCCGAGCTCAAATCCTTGGCTCGGTACTGATAGGTATCCTCACGTATTTTTAGTGCAGCTGTTAGTTAGGTGACAAAAATTGTGCGTTTGATGACACAAATTGTTCGTTTGATGACAAAGCATGAACCCTGACTGAAGATGCTTTTATAAGCATGTTCAAAAACATCCCTGCATCTGTTCAAGCATCGTGTCATACTTTTGTCATCAAACGCACAATTTTGTCATCTAACAACTCAGTGCACCAAGGATGCCCCCAAAAAAACCGCGAAACCATTGAAATGACGTTTGTTAAAATGTGAATGCCCTGGCACTAAGCTGAACGCAAAGATGCGTAAAATATTGACAAGGGTGCATAACAGGGTGTCCCAAAAAAACCCAAAAGCATTGAAATTAACGCAGTGTTTGAATTTTAATGTCCTTTGAATTTGAATGCAAAGATGCGTAAAAGGCGATAAAGAAATTAAAATATCTGTAAAGCACACGATTGTAAAGTACACGATTTTCTGCTCTTGGGAATGTAAAACAGCTTCTTAAATGCATAAAGATGCATAAAATTTACTTACGTCAAGCTTTGATGCACGTGCGGGTTCAGCAGAGTGCTGAGGCATTCGAATTCTATTAGCAATACGTTATTTCAATAGTTTTCGGGTTTTTTGGGACTGCTCTGTACAGGGTGTCCCCAAAAAAGTACCCTCTATAGAAATTATCCTATGGCTATTGTTATAATTTGAATGCCTGAGCACTATGCTGAACAGAAGAGAGTGTGTAAACACAATTGAATTTTTAATTACCAGTCGCATAAAATCCTGTGCTTAACAACAATAGGATAAATTTGTATAGAGGATACTTACTTTTTTTTGGACACCCTGTGCAAGTGTGTCTCAAAAAAAAGTGAACCCTTTCAAATTCACATATTCAAATTAGCTAGAACGTATTGTAGTAATTTGACAGCTCTAATTGTTTTGAATTAATGGTTGGGTATAAGAACACAGGGAATACTGCATATACTTCTTTTAAATTTTCTGATTTTTACTATTTCTTTGAGTTTTGTCCCATGAGTACAAAACCTTGTGTTCTTTCCCAATCATTAATTCAAAGCAATTAGAGCTGTCAAATTACTAAAACGTTATAGCTAATCTGAATTTGAAAGGGTTCACTTTTTTTTGAGACACACTGTACAGGGTGTCCCAAAAAACCCGAATTATATTGCATTTGATTCAGCCAACAATACAGTAGACCAATTTGGCTAACGTTGTTTACATCGTTGCTTCACAACTTTAGATAACTCACATGTCTAGTTACTATTGTTCTAGTTTACAGAAGCATTGAATAGAACAAAGGTAACTAAAGTTATGTATAAGAGTTATTCACTCATGTACAGGGTGTATAAAAAAAAGGGACCTTTAGAAATCAAGCATATTGTTAAAATTTGAATGCCTTTTCAATTGCACATATGCTGAACCGTGGTGCGTGAAATGCATATATTAGAAAAAGGAGACCTTTAGAAATCAACCATTGTTATAATTTGAATCCTGGAAAACTTTGCTAAGCCCGCGAATGCGTAATATGCGATCTACGTACAGTATGTATGGCAGATTGTTCCCAGGAGCAGACAATCTTTTGTTTAAACGTTATTTCAATTTCTAAAGGTCTCCTTTTTCTAATATATGCACCCCATCAATATTTCACGCACTATACGGTTCAGCATATGTGCAATTGAAAAGGCATTCAAATTTTAACAATATCGTTGATTTCTAAAGGTCTCCTTTTTTTTTATACACCCTGCCTGTACAGGTGTCCCAAAAAAAACGAAAACTATTGAAATCACCAATAACAATTTAATTGTTAGAATTTGAATGCCTTAGCGCTCTGTTGGTTCCCACGAGTGCATAAATGATTGACATAAGTAAATTTTATGCATAAAGAAACTGTTTTAGAAGCTGTTTTTAATTCCCAGGTGCAGAAAATCGCGCACTTTACCAGGAGATATTCCTAACTAAATTCTAATACATGCACCTTGTCAATATTTTACGCATCATTACGTCCAGCTGTTTGGTAGGGCATTCAAATTTAACAATAAGTGATTTCAATAGTTTTCGGGGTTTTTTGGGATACCCTGTAGATAATTCTAAAGCTTAGTTACCTTTGTTCTATTCTCTGCTTCTGTGTACTAGAACAATGGTAGTTTGGCATGTGAATTATCTAAAGTTGTGAATTGGGTATGAACAAACGTTAGCCAGATTTTTCTATGTTTTACGAACTTACCATGTTTGCAACCATATTCCCGCCCAACACCCAATTGCAATATTCGTGCCACCGCCAATTAAACTTTTAAAATCTATCCTGTGCAATATTGAATATATTAGACAAAATAAGCTATGCATGAAGTCAAGACTTGGAAAATGTACTTTGTATGTTTTAAGTTTTTTATAGCATTACTGAACTGCGACAAATGGTGACATACTGAAGAAGGAACGAAGTGTTTAATATCAATAGAATGTTCTTCTTATATCAAATACAATATATACAGATTATACAAGATTACTCGTTCCTGTTTATATACATTTCAGTGTGAGTTAAATCATCCTATAAATATAGTATTTATATTATATATAGTCTATAGAAAATATGATTAATTTATTACATATAAGTTTTCAACTTATAGATAGAAATGTTGCTACAAACAAAATCCTCGTTTAAAAATTTTTAACAAACAGAAAATTATAAATTTTATTTTTTAATTAATCTGAACGATTTTTATGAAAACTTCATAACACGCCATTGACCAATGTGGTTTATAACAATTTCGCTTAAGCATGGAAATTAAAATTTATGGCGTTTTGAATATTTTTTAAAGTCGGAAACATAATACGAAATTTTCTCCTCAATTTTCATGCATCACTTGAAAGTACCTTAAAAATAATTAAAGATGATGTTCACTCGTGTGCGCATGTGCGGACTTTGTTTACGTTTTGAAGTGCTATATTTGTAAAATATGATATACTAACTGAATATCTAACACTTTTCTGGTTCGCGATGCTTGTAAATGAATATAAACTCTACGTTTCAATTAAAAAAAGTTCGAAAAATGCAAAATTTGGGCAATGTTTATATCTGGGGGTCCCCCTTTGTTATGAGCAGAACTGATGCGCAGAACGGAGTGGACATCATCTTTAACAAATAACAATGGTTTATTCACAACTCATCTTAATGGACCATTTGCATTATAGACTAAATTTTGATCTAGACAAAAATTTCATCATAGCTTGAAAGAGCATCACAAAATTAGTAATATTCCAAAGTTTCGTTGCGAAATGTTGTAAAATGCGGATAATATAGCCTTGCGAAGTTTGCCGTTTTTCAGTCATTTTGTATTACGCACGGGAAATTGACAGCCCAATCGGGTGTTGGGGCATCAATTTCCCGTTCGTAATACAAAATGACTGAAAATTGCAAATTTCGCAAGGCTATATTATCCGCATTTTACAACATTTCGCAACGAAATTTTGGAATATTACTAACTTTGTGATTTTTATCTAGACTTGTTTACATCAAAATTTAGTCTATATATAGTCCATTATAGTATTGTTTATCAGAATACTTATGAGACGGCATCTATATTGTAGTCATGTTTGAAGCTATTCAAAACACTTGTAGTCGTGTTTTATCATGTATATCTAAAATGATCTCGCTGCGCACTCGCATTTTATATGATAAAACACCAGTGTTGTAACGAGTCGAGTCATTGACTCTGACTCGAGTCAACTCGAGTCGCTATTTTCAGCGACTCGACTCGACTCGAGTCCAATACGAAAAATGACTCGACTCGAGTCAACAGCCCCAAATGACTCGACTCAGACTCGACTTGCTGATTTTGCCGTAAATGACTCGAGTCAACTCATCTACAACTTGTACAGAGTAAATTCATCACAATTATTGTGATTGTATTGCTTGGGAAGAACAATGAGCCCTGTAAACAATGAGAACTTTGAAACTTTATCAGAAAATATATGGGATTTGCATAGAATATATTCCTGACGGGCATACCTATATTACATTTCTGTTTTTAGAAACAACGCTAGTGCCACAGTTTTTTAAAATTAAGTCTCAAAATATTTTGTACTTATACTAATTCTGACAGGCTATTTTCATTTTTGGTATTTATGAAGGGCTATATAATTTCAAATCAACTTACAAAGCGTTGTTAATTAAAGTCTATTCTTTGTTAATTCTGACTCCAGTTGCAAGTTTTGCTAGTTGTATGTACGTACACTCGATCAGCAGGTATGATGAGACATCTCACGTGGTTGACTGGAACTGTGATATTGGCACAGCCTATAGCTGCCCAGATACTGTTATTAATTTAAATGACTAAAGTAATTAGTTTAAAACGCAAATTTGATTACTAATTTCCGACAGCAAGCTAGGGTAGCTCAAGTAAAGTCTAGAAATTGACTCGACTCGACTTAAATCAGTGACTCGACTTGACTCGAGTGAAGCCGCTGACTCGACTCGACTCGAGTGAAGCCACGGACTCGACTCGACTCGATCAAAAACTGAAATGACTCGACTCGACTCGTGACTCGACCTTTGAGTGACTCGACTCGACTCGTGACTCGACCTGTAGGTGACTCGTTACAACACTGTAAAACACTCCTACGCGTGTTCAGTGGCGTAATGCTCCTTGGTATGGGGTTAGTTAAAAACGGTTAGTTACGTGGGCAGTTATGGGCCCCCATCAGCCACGGCCTATCGCCCAGAAAATTAGATCAAAGGCCTTCGAGGCCGACTCACGGATGAGATCAAATTAATTAAAGGGGGATATGATTTACAGCAGTTTTTTACAAATGGGAACCGTGCAAGGGCAAGGACATTATTTGGTAAAACACAACATAATATAAAATGTTCCCGAAGATCTTACAGGTTTAAACAGTTTAATTTTAACGACATCCTCGATTTTAACAATAAGGGACCGGTCATTAATTATGGAAGGGGGGAGGGGAGGAAAAAATAAGGGGGGCATATGTAGAAATGACTAGAAAGGGGGCTATTAAATTTTTTCAAGAAAATGACAGGGGGTGTTGCAATTAAACTTGAAGGAATTTGCTTAATAACCTGGTATCCATTTGGTTGTAAATGTTGCAACTAAATCATGGTCACTGATGTGAAATAGTCTGGATTCATCTTGTCTTGTGTGTGCTGTATGCAGTATGCAAATCAGTCTTTACGGATTGCGATCATATCGATCAAAGGGGGTTGTTTCATGCCTTGTGATCAGTGCTTCGGTCTGGGTATTCATTCTACCATTGTATGCTTTGCCTAGCTGCAGCAAGTTTTGCGCTTCGATACCTTTTCCCGACCCACCCACCCATGCTCATTCTAAAAGATTTTATCTGGTAGCTAGTATATGTCATTTTTATATAATTTTTAATCTCACATAAAATAGGATGTATAGACCACTATACATTGTATTTCGCAGGTATGCCTTGGCAGAATTGTCATTGCTATCTCCTTTTGCTGCTAATTTTACTCATTGTTGCTCTCATTGTTGCCGCGCAGCTGCTATGGCAATACTTCGTACCATCAAGTCTAGTTGCAGCCTTAAACATGGTTACGATCGCCCAGAGCAAATGGAAACTTGATTTTAGTGTTATATATAAAAATACTCCTCTTTTAATTACAATTTTCTGCTAATAAATATATATTTTTGGTCGACGTTAATATCCTGCCAGTTCCATATTCTTATTTAATAATTAATACTATAACGCCTGGGTATCCCCATTTGACGAGTAAAAATGAAAATGGGGGGGGTCAAAGAAAAATATTCTAATATGGCAGGGGGGCATCATCAAATTTCTGCCATTTAGGGGGGGCTTTCAATTTTAAAAATTTAGAAAAGAAAAAAATTCCCCTCCCCCCTTCCATAAATAATGACCGGTCCCTAACCAATATCAACAGTCTTCAAAAAACAATCTGAATAGATTATTATAAAACTACACACTATCAAAGCAAATCTATATAAAAGTACAATAACCGTAGCTGTCAGGTGTGTATAATGTTCAACAGAATAACTATAAGTATAAAGCTGTACCTAATACAGTCAGTATCAGTACATCCAATGACTGTGGCTTTCCGATATGTACAGTGTTAAACAGACTGACAATTTAAACATGATAACTATAATAAGTATAAAGCTGTCCCCAATGTAATATATCAAATGACCGTAGCTGTCCGATCTAGAGTGTTGAACAGGACAATTTAAACATGATAGCTATAAGTATAAAGCTGTAACCAATACAGTACATGCTGCATCAACGACCGTAGCTGTACGATGTACAGTGTTGAACAGAAAAATTTAAACAGAACAACTATAAAACAGCACCCTTATTGATACAACGGTACAGGTAGCTGTCCAATGGCAGTACAGTGTAAGTAAATCCAGGTGGTAATGCTGCCTCAGTGTCCAATGTTCTTTTTCTTGTTAGACCATTTATAATTGTTACCAAACTGTGAATAAACATAAATATCTACATTGAAAAGGGAATGGCTGCAAAAATTTCAATATCAGTCCCCCACACACCACTGTTCCTGTTGCTTGTGGCTAAATAATGATCTACTGAACTATTCATATATGGTCTAAGGACATGTTCTATACTGTTCATGTGATCCACTATTTTTTGTCTTAAAATCATGTGGTATGTTTGTCTACCGGTTAAAATATACTGACAGTGCTCTAAATAAACAATTGCCATCCCCTGTAATCCGACAGAGTTTCGTTGGATTAACTAGTGGTTTTGATGTTGTTTCATTGCGTCTAAATATAAGTGGGACATTCATCAAAGAGCATAAGGACAGCTGAAATTCTCCTGATAGAGGATAAAAATGAAGCGATCTATCGATACACTGCTGAGACTCGTCCGTGCCAGCTGATACTAGGCTACAGTGCCAGCGCAGTCATGTGAAATATACAACGGCAAGTCGGCAACGTGACTTTAATACAAAGATTTTGTGTCGTGTTGCTTCGAATAAGACAAATATGTCCTTTGTATTCCGTGACAGCTAAAACATGAATTATTTAATTTAAATAACATGATTAAATTTGGTAAACAAAAAACTCTTTCAATCGACAGAAACTATGGAAACAGTGTTGAAACGGTGTTGAAACACAGCTGACAGAGGCGCTCGAAAGGCACCAGAAAATGTGAACACTTGTATATATATTGAACAAAATAGTGTTAATATTTCAGCTAAAAGGTTGATCAGTGTGTTAACAGCAGATCTGTTGGGTGAAGTAGAAAAACAGATAACAATTAAGTCAACTAACACTCACCTTTTAATTTAGCACACGCTTGTCAAAAAGTCAAAAGTTGAAAAGAACGTGAAGCGTGCTCCAGCCTGATTTCCGGTTCCAAGAGACCCGTTCGCAGGCAAACACTGCGCGCAAAGCAGGCTGGTCATTTCCCATTGTTTAACTGCCCCACTCAAGTAAACCACAAAGACTCACAGATGTTGCTTCGCAACATCCGTGAGTCAAAAACGTAAAAAAAATGCAATTTAAGAATCAATCAATGCTAAATAATAAAGGGTTAGGTTAAAACGCGGAAGCGGATGCGGAACGGAACGGAACGGATATGGGGTTAAAATGCGGAACGAAACGGATATGCGGAACGGAACGGATATGGGGTTAAAATGCGGAACGGAACGGAAATGCGGAACGGAACGGATATGGGGTTAAAATGCGGAACGGAACGGATATGCGGAACGGAACGGAACGGATATGGGGTTAAAATGCGGAACGGAACGGATATGGGGTTAAAATGCGGAACGGAACGGATATGCGAAACGGAACGGAACGGATATGGGGTTAAAATGCGGAACGGAACGGATATGCGGAACGGAACGGATATGGGGTTAAAATGCGGAACGGAACGGATATGGGGTTAAAATGCGGAACGGAACGGATATGGGGTTAAAATCCATCTGGTGGACGGGAAATCTGATTGGTTGATCAGCATCATGAAAGATTTTGATTGGTTGCAAGTTCATATAAACAATGGTTTTAAAAATAGCTCTGTCAAAGCGACAATTAAGCCCAATAAGCCGGTTAAAGACGAGCAAGTTTTCTTTAAGAATCTTTAAAACCCGGAATGAGAGAAGCAGTGCTCTCACTTTTAAGGAATTATCCTTAAAAATAGGAATTTTGAAGAGTTTTAAGGATTTTTTTAAGGATTTTAGGTTTTTGAGGATTTTTTTAAGGAATTTCCGAAACATTTTATCCTGGACTAAAAACGTTGGACGGAGGATGGATAACCACGCCACGCAAATGAGATTTAAACTTGAAAGTGGCAACATTATACGCACATAATTAGGGGGACTAGGGGGCCTTGAGCCCCCCCCCCCCCAATAATTTTGGAAGACTGCAAAAATCTTGTACCAAATAACACAAATCACACTCATATAACGTAATTGTTATCATAATATAATAGTATATGTTTCTGTACATGGCTTGGCATGTGATTTATAACAAAACGCGCCATTAAAACAGTGTTTTGAAACCCTAGTTTTTTACAAAATGTGTTCTCAGAACGCTGCAAATGCCATTTCCGGGATTAAAATTGTAAAATTTTTCCGTGCCTTCGGCACGAGCCCCCCCCCCCCTCATCCCCCATTTCTCGTAAAGTGTCCGCCACTGGTCATTTAATTAAAATTCTCAAAAGTTAAATGTCAGTATATGCTGTTTCTTCTGAAATCTACAGATTTTTTAAGCTCTTCATGCAGCAACGATCACAAATACATCATGTTGAATGTTTTCTTTATGGCATTATGTTAACAATCAAATGTTTTCAAATTTTAGTGCTTAGAAACAAGGTTATAAAAACTGAAAAACAGAAAAAAGGAGGAAAAACGCTTTTTGCAACTGTGTGATCAGGCCTTGTGGTAATTTTACCAATTTAAGGAATTTTAAGGAAATCTGAGGAATTTTCGAGTTTTTTCTAAGGAATTCGAAACTTTGATTGTGAGAGCACTGGAGAGAAGCCGGAATCTTTAAAACCCGGAATTATTACTGTAATTACTGCAATAATTTATTAATTTAATAAAGCCAAGTTTTGGCGGGATTCCTAAACTCCTTTGCGCGTCGTGTCAGATCCTCGAACAAACAAGTAAGCAGTAAAGTAAAGAACCTCGAAAAATTTTGTGCAAGGCTGATATTCTATTATTCTGGAGGAAACACAGTGGGTTAGCTTTTACGGCGAACACTATTATCAATACTGTTGAATTGAAGCTCGATTTTTGATATACGTCTTAGTCTAGGACCTGTATATGAGTTTGTATGCATTTTATTTAGGACAGATAATCTCAACTGTTTTAGGGTAAGTTGACCATGGCGGTCAACATGGTAACGCTGCCCGAACCCCAATCCGGGGCGAAACGTCCGAAACTGACCACACCCAAAAACGACGCTTTCGCCATACTGCTATCTACCAAACCATAAAAGCTTTGGCTATTCTGAGGTGCTTATATGGTTCAGAGATGGTACTTTTGGTGGTGGTCATTGGTAAGTGTGAAATGCCTAGCACTAATATTTCACAAGAAAATGGCCATGCAATAATCATAGTTAAACGTCAATTTGTGGCTTGCAAATTCAGATAAACAGCAGTGGACTTACATTACCTTTTTTCCTAAATCTTTTTTATAGAAACATAAATGGTACTTATTTAAATATATTATCACTGGTTTGGTGTAAAATAGTTAATATTTTCTGACCGAAATAATAATTTGAAATGTGCCTACCTCCTGCAAATGGACGTATTTGGCCAAGTTCTCCACTTTACTCCGCTGTTTATCGGCGATCTCGTCGACATCCTACAAGAAATGTAAATCATCTCAGACATAATGGTATCAAGAACATT